CATTCCAGTTCAAATATAAATTGAAAGCCCCAGGTGTGTGTGTGTGTTTGATTTAGTGCATTTTGACATATTCATAAATGCATATAATATAGTTTTCTCCATTTCAATTCCCAGTACTTCCTCTTTCCCTCCGTCCTCCTGGTCCCTTTCCTCTACTCTATTAGGCTTCCTTTATTTATTTATGTATGTATGTTTTTATGGATGCATTATAAGTATATAAAAATTTAAATGCATTATATTATATTCATCATGCACATAGCGTGTTTTGTAAGCTTCATTTTTCATTTCTTCCTCTCCTCCACCCTTTTTCTCCCAGGTCCCCTGCTTCTCTACCGATCTCTTCTATTTTCACAAACTCTTCCATTTTTATTCCTTTTTTCCACTCTAGCTTGTGAAGCAGGAGAGAACACTGGACCCTTCAGTTTGAGTCCGGCTTATTTCTCTTAGCCTGATGTTTGCCAGTTCTTTCCATTTATCAACAAATGTACACATTTTTTTAAGTTGTAAATATCTTTGTAATGAATCATTTTTATTCTTTCTCATTACCTTTGTGTATATACTTTTTTATACACAATGTATTTATATATTTGTTTTTATATGGTACTGAGGATCTAACCCAGTGCCTCACTCTGCAAGACAGTCTCTCTCTTCCACTGAGCCACAGCTCTACCCTGAATGTACAAACTTTTGAAGGAAATTATAAGTGCTACTATACTGAACATGACAAATGTTAAGAAAAGCAAAACAGCTTATTGCTGATACGGAAAAGTTTTAGTTGTCAGAGTTGTCAGGATAGAATCTCAAACTATCCACAGTGTTCCTTTAAATCAAAGACTAATCCAGAGCAAGGCCATGACTGTTCTGTTAAGGCTGAGAGGTGAAAAAGCTACAGTAGAAAAGTTTGAAGCTTGCAGAGGTTGATTGATGAAGTGTAAGGAGAGAAACTATCTCCATAACAAAAGTACAAGGTGAGTCAGCGAGTGCTAATATAGATGCTATAGCAAGTTATCCAGAAGATCATGCTTTTAATTGATGAAGGTGTCTATATTACAAAACAAGCTGTTTGTTATATACAAAATGGCTTTATATTAGAAGACATTATGTAGGACTTCCATAGCTATAGAGAAGAAATTAGGGCCTGCCTTCTAGGTTTCAAAGGATGGGCCTATTCTCTATTTAGGGATAATGTAGTTTGTGAAAGTGGAAGCTAGTGCATATTTACCATTCCTATAACCCTAGGCTTTTAAGAAAATGCTGAATCTATTTTTCCTGAGCTCTGTAAATGTTACAGTAAAGTCCACTGCAGAATCGTTGTTTACAACACAGTGGTAGGAATTCAGTCTAACCTGACTGCAACAAGTCAAAACTGCTTTGATTGCCCCTGAGTCTTTGCCTGACAGTTGATGTTAGCTTGAGATAAATTGTTTACATTCTGACTTAGAGGAAAGCCACTCTCATCCTGACCATTCAGTATATAAACTTACTCCCTTTGACTAAAGTTGGAGAGATGCACCAACCTTGCTGCACTCTTGACTTTTTTCAGTAAGTCCCCAATAAATTGCATTCTGTCTGATCTTGATTCTGTCTGCCTCCTTCTTCAGTCTTATAGAACTTTATGGTCAGTTCTTTTACACTGGATTTTCCCCAAACAATATTTGAGCAGACATTTGACAACTACTACTTAAAAAAAAAGATTATATTCAAAATGTTACTGCTCATTGAGAATATACATGGTCACCCACAATCTCTGACAGAAAGATAAAACAAAATTTATGTTTTTATGCCTGCTAATTAATACAGTGCCCACTTGGCTCCAATAAGAAATACATTTTGTAAGGCTGAAACTTCTATAGATAGCTGTTCCTCTGATGGATCAGGACAAAGTAAAGTGAAACCTTCCTGAAAGGATTCACCGTTGTAAGTGCCATTAAGTATATTTTTGACTCATAGAAGAAGTCAAAATATCAACATTTCCAGGAGTATGGGAGAAATCATTTTTAACTCTCATGGATGACTTGAAAGGATTCAAGACTTCAATGAATGTAATAACTGCAGATGTCATAAAATGGCAAAATAACTAGAATTAGAAGTAGAGCCCGAAGTTGTAACTGAATTACTGCAGTCCAATGATAAGACTTTAACAGATGAGCAAGGAAAGTGAATTCTTGTCTTGAATTCACTTCTGGTGAAAATGCAGTTAATGTAGTTGAAAAATGATAGCAACAATTCAGTGTGTTATATGAACTTAGCTGACAAGGCATTGATGAGGTTTTAGAGGATTGATTCCAATTTTGAAAAAGTTCCCTTATGGGTAAAAAGCTGTCAAACAGCATATCATACAACAGTTGTCTTTCATGAAAGGGAGAAGCAATTAATGTGGCAAACCTTTGTGGCAATCTTCATTGTTGTTTTATTTTGTGAAGTTTTCAGTCTTCTATAATGATTTAGATAAGAGTTGTCCCCCAAAAGCTCATGTGTGAGACAATGCAAGAAAGTTTAGAGGTAAAATGATTGAGTTATGAGAGTTGTAACCCAATTAGTGGATTCATCTGTGTCTCTGACACAGTTTAGAAGAAGGTCAAAGCATTCTTTTGTGGCCTGCTTTAGGAAAAAAAGAATATTAGACTGTCAGTGAGATCTTGCTGCTTCCGCTGTTTTTTCAGATATAAAGTACCATATCTCAGGGTAGCATGTTCTGAATCCCATCAATTTTAAGGCTTATCATGTAATTACTTTATGCAACAAAATGTGATATTGGCTGAAGAATTTAAAAGCTGATGAGTAAAGCTGAATAACATTGTGAAATATATCTATATCTGATTTATTTGATTTATTGTAAAGGTGTCAATTTAAATTAAGGGAGCAGGGATTAGCTTTTCATAATAAATGGGGCTGAACAACTAGATTTTCATATGGAAAACCAGTGAAATTCTACCCTTATCTCATACTGTATATAGAATCTAATTTGAGATTGGAATTTAGATCTAAATTTAAATGACAAAGGAATAGTTTCTGGTACAGAAAACATAAGAGAAAATCTTTGGAGTCCTTGCAGAAGGTAAAGATCTCTTTGGCTATTAAAAAAAACACAAATATAGTATAAAAGAATGATAACTTGGATTTCATGAAGATTAAATTTCTCTTTCTTTGAAAGACACTGTTATAAAAGAGAAACCAAAGCGCATTACCTGTCTATTCACTTTGTAAAAAATGTCTTCAACACATATATCTTACCAAGGATTTCTTTCCAAAATATATAAGGATACAAGCAATAATTAACAGGTAAACACACAATGTGAAAAGATGTTCAACTTGACTAAAAATGAACTCCTACTAAAATACCACTAAACATTGATTTGAATGACAGCACTATGTCAAGGTATTGATATGATAAGGATTTAAAACTCTCTTACATTGCTGCTGTAACTAGAAAATGGTATAATCCCCGGAAAATAGTTTGGTGGGTTTGTTAAATAAATACATACTTACTGCATAACTTGGAAATTCTTCCTAGGTTTTGACCTAAGAAGTGAAAATATGCCCACTAAAAGAATTGAACTAGGGCTGGGGTAGTGGCTCAGCAGTAGAGCGCTCGCCTGGCATGTGCAAGGTGCTGGGTTTGATCCTCAGCATCATATAAAAATAAATAAATAAATAAAATAAAGGTATTTTGTTCAACAACAACTAAAAAACAGAGAGAGAGAGAGAGAGAGAGAGAGAGAGAGAGAGAGAGACACTTGACCTAGAATGCTCATAGAAAGGTTATTTACAGTATTAAAAAGCATAGAAAATCCCAACTATCAAGAAGTGAGTGGATAAAAAGTAATGGCATATACAATGGAATACTTCATTGTTGCATTTATACATTCAACAATGAGGGTCAGTGACTAGGAAGCGGCTTCCTTCAAACACATTCTAGGGTATTTTAGAAAATGATTTAAATTCCAAAATCTAACATGTATATGGTAAAATAGGAAGAAAATAAGTCCGTCCCTTTCCTGAATGTGGGTATAAAAACATTGAAAGTTGAAATTAATGTAGTATAAATAGTTATTCTTTCATAGGATGCCTAATGATTACCAGGAGCATGAGGGAGCTTCTGAGTTACTTGTAATGTTCTGTACATGGATATGAGTGGTGGGCCACGGATGTGTTTACTTTAGGAAATTTTAGTGAACTTTTTGAACTTCCATGTATTACTTTGGTTTATGGACTCCAAAGTAGTAGGTTATACTTTTTAAATAATTGTACTATTTCTTCTTCCCCAAATGAAAAGACTTTCAGCAAAAGGGCAAACACAAATAGCCCATGAAACTATGATATGATACCTACCTATTACACATTTATGAACTTCTAATTAAAATATAGGGTGAAATTTCCAGTGAAATTGGTAAAGTTTAAGATCTTTGAACACCATAAGTATTTATGAGGATAAGGAACCATGCGAATCTCTCATCTACTGCTGGTATTAATGTAATCTGTTTAAAAACTCATGAGAATAGTTTGATAGGACTTCATAAGGTAACCATAAAATTCTCTTTGCAAAAGTCTTCCGAAAGTCTTCAAGGAAGCTTATGGTGATTCTGTTAATAAAAGCAAAAATATGTAAAGATTTTTCAGCAAGAGTGGTGGACAAATAAGTAAATGTTCGTTTATTCATCAGTGAAATACAATTTAGCAGTGAAAATTGGTGAACTGTTGGTACAATTAAAATTTAGATTATTTTGTAAAAGAAGGAAGTTTCAGGAAAATATATGTAATAATCCCTTTTTCTATAGTTTAGAAAGAGTTACACTAAATATTATATTAAATGAGAATAATAATAAGTAACATTAAAATTATAAAACTACTTTAAAATCTACATTGTATAATGTACCTTTCTAATTTAGGCTTTATTTCTTCTCAGATCTTTCAAATTGAGTGTCTTGTCCAAGTTGATAATTTTGAATAAAAAGTTATTGTGCTACTTGACAGTGAATTGTTTTGTTTCCTCCCTTCAGGTTCAAGCATATACTGGTTCAGGACCGTCACATATTTCACAGAAAATAATTCCTGTCTTGGAACTTCCACGTATTACTGAGGATGGTAAAATGAGATTGCTTAAGGAATTTTTTGTTATTATACATATATTATTAAAATAATTTTTATTTGAAGCTTATTTTCTCATATGAGTATTTAGAGGAGGGGAAATATTTTTTGCTTTTAACCTAGGTTTTCTGTAAAAAAAAATTATAAGAGAAAACTAACAAATTTATTAACATTTACATCTCATTTTTACATTGGAGACATTAGAGATTAGTAACTCAAAGGGCAATTAAAACTTGGGCTTATATACCAATTTGAGTTTGGGGCTGCTATGCTTGGGGAGGGAACTTTCAGAAAGGTAACTAGGAGAGATATGGTATATAAGGATAAGATTCATTATGTTGAATAAAGGCAGCATCTTCCCCTTTGATAAGAATTTCTCATGATTAAGAGTTATTTTTCTGGTATAGAGAAGGAGACATCCTTACAAAGGTATAATTCCTTTATAAATTTTAATATTCCTTATAAAAGGGAAACTTATGCTGTGTCTTCAGAGCTGCTTCTGCGTATGTTGTTTCTCAAAGTAATGAACTCAATAAGACCCCTTTGTCAAAAAGAAATGGAATAGTCATATTAAAAAAAAAACAGGCAGTTACAGATATTTTTATATTATGAAGACATTTTCACTAAAATAATACAATTTGGATATTCCTTAAAGTTGCTTTTGTAATAGGATTTTTCTTTTTCTCTTCCTTTTTGTTTTTTTTTTTTCTGGTATAAGTTGAATTTGTAATGCCAAGAATCACTAGTAAGTGAATAATGTTTATTGAATTTGGGATTAAAAAAACTCCACAATACTCTGTAGATGTCTAATTTGTAATGTGGTAGTTATTTTGAGAACTTGCTATAGGAAAAACTTTATATAGTTTTTTAAGTGAAGAAAAAAAATCAAGTTTTAATATCCAAATTAACATGAAAATATTATAAATATTCTAAAATATACTGTCTTTTTTTTATGACCACACTGGAAAAAAAACTGTTATCTATTTTTAAGATTAAAAAAGGCTAATTGTTAAATGTTTTAAAAGTGCCATCTATGTCCCATTTTCTAAGGAATGCATTTTTTTGTTTGGTGACCGCAGAGGAAATTGAGTGAGGTCATGTACTCTTTCTTAACCTCAATTTTAGGTTGTTAGGGATATGTTTCAGATTATTTTAGGTTCCTTTAGATCTCTTTATAGTTTTATCAGTGGTTGAATGTTTTTCATGTTTTTGATCTTTTTAAATGTTTCTTCTTGGCCAGGGGGATATCTAAATATATGGAGGGAGGGAGGGATGGAAGGAGGGGGGGAGACAGAGAGAGAGAGAGAGAGTTAGTTAAATAGTTGTATAATATGTAGTAGTTTAACAGTGAATAGTAATCTCCCATTATCCATGGAAGATACATTCTAATACTCCTATTGGATGTCTGAAATCACAGATAGTACCAAATTTTATTAATACTATGTGTGTGTGTGTGTGTGTGTGTGTGTGTGTGTATAATCTGTGATTAAGTTCAGTGTGCTTTTCACCTTAGTTAAGTACTTGATACTGCATGATGAGTATAACTCTAACAGTATGACTGCGAAACTAGCGTGAATTTATTTATTTATTTTGGCATAGTTTCACAGAGTCATCATTCCTGGAGTGGATCTTGGCAACATCAGCATATGGTTTTTTCTTTCCTTAAAAATTACGTATTTTATCTTTTCACTTAAAGGGAATCATTTTATGGCTTCTCTCTGGCATGTTTGAATTGCTACCATCACTACTCTTGGGCTTTGGGGCCAATATTGAATAAAATAAGGGTTGCTTATACACATACAATACAGTTCTACAAGAGTCCATCTGATAATCATAATGGTTGCTAAATGACTAATGGATGGGTATTGTATGCAGTATGAATACTGAAGGAGTCCAGGGAATTGTGCCCCCAAAGTATGCTGACTATTTTAAATTAAAGGTCTTTGGAGAGCAGTAGATTCTGGAAAAGGTTTTTTCATGATACCACACAAAGATTAGAACTGCCAAATATGGATAACAATGATCTTTAGTTAAACTAATGTCTGTAGGAAGGAAAATTAAATAATATAGCCATACCTAGAATGAATTTGTTATAAGCCATTGCTGTCTCTTAGGACCATTTAATTCCCAAAGAGAATCATTTACATTATCTGAGCACTCAGTCTATTCATTTACCTAAAATCATTTACTACCCCTCCATTTGTCGTATTTCACTGACCTCTTTGGGTTGTTTCAATTATCACAATCCTGTGATTCTCCCCTGTGCATGTTAATAATATATGTATATTTTTTCCTATTATTAGTTCATGCCAGCAAACTTGCAGACTTTTTGAGAGAGAAGGGAAACTTCTTTCTTTGCCCCTGTAACATACTGACAAAGGAATAATTCATATCCCGAGTGGAATAGTGCAAGATTTTCTAATGCTACTTAGGATAGCATGCAGTTTAAAATTTTGGAATTCTTGGAATTTTTCATTTAATATTTTTGAGCTGTGGGTGACTGTGGGTAACTGGAATCACATAAAACAAAACTACAAATGGGGTGGGAGATTGCTTCATTCACATTTCAGGGCCTGTCTTCTGCTGCTAATATTGCAGAGTTTATATATAAGTCCTGTTAGACTGTTCAGGTAAATGAGCATTTTAGCATGTTACTTTGAGTATTCATGATGTGTAAAGTCTTGAGTGTTGTCATTTACTGTAAAATATTCTTATGAAACTTTGAAATAGACTCATGATTTCATAAGGTGATCATTAAAGATTACATTTTATAGTTTTTCTATACTTTTTTGTAATCAAGAATGTTATTTGTTCAAAAGTAATTTTATATTCTTTTCCATTTACTTTAATTCTTAGATTTCTATTAAATTTTAAAATAAATAGATCCATAGTGTTTCAGTGTTTACATTTCAGAAAATTTATTACAATGTTATTATTAAATTGATCATTTTTTATTATTGACTGAAACAATATTCTTGAAATTTAGACTCAGAAGAAGAATTTTTTGATGCACCATGTAGTCCCTTGGGAGAGTTTCCTCAAGTTCCAGTTAGAGTTAAAAGTACTCAACACAAAAAATTACAAAAGCAAGATTGTTCAGTAAATTTGACTGAGATTAAAATGCGATTTGAAGTAGCAGAGGTATGTGATATGGTAAATTAATAACAGTTATTTAAATTGTCATGTCTACCATTTACAACCTCATTGCTAATAGGTACTGCATCCCAATTAAATGATGTAAATTTTCTGTATGGTGGTTCCCTTTCATCCTCCCCTTTCTTTTGTTTGAAGAATAGCTTCTTTAATCAAGAATTAGGTGTTTGGATATGATATATTGTGGGTTTTCAATACATATTTCTTAAAAATTATTATAAAAAGTGGAGTGGTGATTATATGTGGAATGGTGATTATAAAATTGCTTCTAAATTTTAAATACATAGTACATTATTTATATCATGTGTATGTGCAAATACATTTCATATATCCATATATAGCCACTATGCAAATAAATGTGATTTTTGTTTTAATAGTAGTAATTTAATTTTCCATTCTTCTTCAGGTTTTGATTCAATTTTATCACCTTGTGGGTGATTGTGAACTACCTGTGGTAGAAATTGATGTTTTAGGATTAGGCACAGAAGTTGAACTTAGAACATTTGATTTGAAAGCAAGTGCCTTTTTGAAAGAGTTCTGCTTAAAATGCCCAGAATACTTAGGTAAGAATCTCTATTTCTTAAAAGTAAATAAATTAATTTTATTACTTAACTACTTGCTGGAGAACTTTTAATTATTTTAGAGTTCGAATCAGTATATTTGCTCAAATATTCTCAGAGAAATATTGTGTTTGTACTATTACTATTATATTGTGTTTGTACTAGTCTATTTTCCATTGATATAACAAAATACCTGAGACTGAGTATAGAAAAGAAGTTTAATTACCTCATAAATTTGGAAGTTGAAAGGCTGAGCTTCAGTGGCTGCATTTATTTGGCCTCTGGTGATTATCTCTTGGTGGGTGGTATGACAGCAGGAGCATATGTAGTGGAGATCACCTGGTGAGACAGGAAGCCAGAAGCTGATTCAAGGGTCTGTCTCACTCTGTTGTAACTGTTCACTATAATGGATATTAACTGGGATCCCACAAGAACTATATTAATGCTTCCTCTGGACAGTGTCCCCAATGACCTAATCATTTCGCACTAAACTCTACCTCTTTAAGGTTTGACCACCTTAACACAACATCCCTGAGGACCAAGCCGCCAGCACACTAATCCTTGGGAGACAAACCACATCCAAACCTTAGCAGAATTAGTCTTTGGCTTTTCATCTTACACTTGGTAGTCTGAGGAAGGGGTAGACCAGAGACAAAATGAAGATAATTTTTTTTTTCATTAAGGAAGATCAAATGTGATTAAATCTTAAATCTACATTTAATATAGGAACACTAAATTAATTTCCTATTACTGCTGTAACAATTTACTATGAACTTGGTGTCTCAAAACAACACAAATTTATTAAAGTTCTATAGGACAGAAGTCTGATGTAAGTCCTACTGTACAGAGAAAACTGTTATATGATTTATGAATATGTCAGAATGAACCCCAGTATCATGTATAACTATAAAGCACTAAGGAAAAAAAAAAAAGAGACCTGAGAAAATAAATTAAGGGGTCAGTGAGAATTCCTTTTTGGAGGCTCTAGAGGAGGATCCATTTCCCTGTTTATTATGTTGGTGACTAAATTCATTTGCACATGATTTAAGTTTGTTTTCTTGTTACCTGTTAGCTGTTGTTAATGCCTACAGGTTTCTATTCTGTCTTGCATTATATCCTCCTACATCTCAGACCCAGCAAAGGGTATCAGATTCTTACAGGGCTATTTCTAACATCCTCTTCTACTTTTTGCTTCCACTCTTAACTCAGGCAGATAATCAAACATAATCTCCATTTAACTATAATCACATCTTCCAAGTTCATTTTGTCATATAATCCCTTAAGATCACAGTGTAGGAGTCTTGTCTTGTTTTTCTTGTTTTTGATGGGAATGGTATTCTGTCTATCACAAAACTTTTAAGTTTTCCAGAATCATAATGGATCTGTTATATCTAAGAAAATAGTCCTGTTTTCTTTGTTAGGGATTTAGGTAGATACTATTTATATTTCTTCTTTTATGTTTTTTTTTAATTTATTTTTTTTATTGGTTGTTCAAAACATTATAAAGCTATTGACATATCATATTTCATACAATAGAGTCAAGTTGGTTATGAACTCCCAATTTTACCCCAAATACAGATTGCAGAATCACATCGGTTACACATCCACATTTTTACATAATGCCCTATTAGTAACTGTTGTATTCTGCTACCTTTACTATCCTCTACTATCCCCCCTCCCTCCCCTCCCATCTTCTCTCACTACCCCATCCACTGTAATTCATTTCTCTCCTTGTTTATTTTCCCATTCCCCTCACAACCTCTTATATGTAATTTTGTATAACAATGAGGGTCTCCCTCCATTACCATGCAATTTCCCTTTCTCTCCCTTTCCATCCCACCTCATGTATCTGTTTAATGTTAATCTTTTCTTCCTGCTCTTCCTCCCTGCTCTGTTCTTAGTTGCTCTCATTATATCAAAGAAGACATTTGGTATTTGTTTTTTAGGGATTGGCTAGCTTCACTAAGCGTGATCTGCTCTAGTGCCATCCATTTCCCTGCAAATTCTATGATTTTGTCATTTTTTTAGTGCTGCGTAATACTCCATGGTGTATAAATGCCACATTTTTTTTATCCATTCATCTATTGAAGGGCATCTGGGTTGGTTCCACAGTCTAGCAATTGTGAATTGTGCTGCTATGAACATCGATGTAGCAGTATTCCTGTAGTACGCTCTTTTAAGGTCTTCAGGGAATAGTCCAAGAAGGGCAATAGCTGGGTCAAATGGTGGTTCCATTCCCAGCTTTCCCAGGAATCTCCATACTGCTTTCCAGATTGGCTGCACCAGTTTGCAGTCCCACCAGCAATGTACAAGAGTACCCTTTTCCCCACATCCTCGCCAGCACTTGTTGTTGTTTAACTTCATAATGGTTGCCAATCTTACTGGAGTGAGATGGTATCTTAGGGTGGTTTTGATTTGCATTTCTCTGACTGCTAGAGATGGTGAGCATTTTTTCATGTACTTGTTGATTGATTGTATGTCCTCCTCTGAGAAGTGTCTGTTCAGGTCTTTGGCCCATTTGTTGATTGGGTTATTTGTTTTCTTATTGTTTAATTTTTTGAGTTCTTTGTATACTCTGGATATTAGGGCTCTATCTGAAGTGTGAGGAGTAAAAATTTGTTCCCATGAGGTAGGCTCCCTATTTACCTCTTTTATTGTTTCTCTTGCTGAGAGAAAACTTTTCAGTTTAAGTAAGTCCCATTTGTTGATTCTTGTTATCAACTTTTTTATGTTTTTTTTAATCCATAGTTTACATTAAAAGTTCATAATTTACATCAGAGTTCACTCATTATGTTATACATGTATGCATTTAGACAAAACTATAATAGCAAGTATCCACCATTATATTTGTCTAAAGGTTAGTTTTACAATGCTAAAAATCTTCTGTGCTTCATCTTATTCATCATTCCCTCCCCTATAACAAGTGTCAGTCACTGATTTTTTTATTATCTCCAAATTTCAAGCATGTCATATAATTGGAATCATATAGTATGTATCTTTTTTCAGATTGAATTCTTTCATTCAGTAATATGTATTTAAATTGTTTTTATATCTATTCATGGCTTGATAGCCTTTTTTTAAAAGCTGGAATAATGTTTCATTGTCTAGGTATGTTATGGTATATTTAATCCATTCACCTACTGAAAGATTTCTTAGTTGTTTCCAGATTCTTCCAGTTATGAATAAAGCTGCTGGGTGTTTGTGTAGATGTTTTTGTTTTCTTTCAGTAAATGCCAGAATCTGCAATTATAGAATCACATGGTGAGAGTGTAATGTAGTTCAGTAAGGAACTGCCATACTGTTTTCCAAAGTGGTTGTACCATTATGCATTTCTACTGGTGATAAATAAGAGTGCCAACATTTGGTGGTATTGGAATTCTGGATTTGGGTCATTCTAATAGGTACATAGTAATAATTTAAATATCTCTGTGACATATGGTGTGAAACCATTTTTCATTTACTTATTTGCTGTATGTATACCTTATCTGGTGAGTTGTCAAGATCTGTGGCCCATTTTTTAATCAGATTAAGTAGTGCAGCCCTTATCTCTTGCTAAGAAGATCACGTATGTAGCAGATACAAAATTTTATTATGCTTGTTTTTTTTTTTTTTTTTTTAACCAAGAAGCAGTTTGCTTTGATAATTGGAAAGAAAAGTATACCAGCTCAATAGTGTTTTGTAATGCTCCAGAAGTATTAGAACAGTTGTTAATTTACACTTTAGCTTATTTTTGTTTTCTCAAGAGCAAAGGATAAGAAAACCCTTGAAAATAAAACACAGGGCATACAGTTTTCACTGTACTCATTTGCCCTTGTTTTCTTGAGAGAGAGCAAATAGCACAGTTTCTCATGAAAGGTAGATGATCAATAAATATTTGTTCAGTGAATTAATAAGTGTGTAAACAAAGTGTGGATCTTCTTGGAGGTAAATGTGTGGTTAGCACCTGCATTAGAAAGCTGGTTTATATGCTAATAACCTTTTGAGTTTGGAGGATTTTGTGGTGTTTTTCTCTTAAGAATAGTATAGTTTTTTTTCTCCCAGTCTCTACATATTGACTTCTAATAGACATAAGTAATTTGATGATGATGATGATTTTAAAAGGTATTATACAAAAATCTCTCCTACGGTAGTTTTCCTACAATGACAGATTTTGAGCAGAAGCAATAATATAATTAAAACAGATTATGTGGTAATAGAGTTAATTTAATCTAAACTGTATATAAAAACTTTTTCATCACATTCCTGATCTGTCTTCTCAACAACTTGGTTTTCTGGGATTGGTGACTTTTCTCTAGGGATTTTTGTGACCTGGGGCTATAAGTCTCTTCATGTCCTTTCATTTAATAGATTGCTAATTTTTCTTACCTTACCTACTGTCTAGGGTTAGGAAGGTTGACACTTCAGTATTGAGGCACAAAGGAAGGGAATGAAATTATATGGAAAAATTACACTTGTAGAATATAAAAAATGAAGGGAACTGAGTAAGTGCATTCCAAGGACTAGAACTGGTACAGAAAAGCCTTTTTCAATTATGTTATTATTAATATTCCCTGCCTTTATTTTGAATTAATTTTCCTACCAATAGATAATTAAAAATTTTATTTTTAGATGAAAACAAGAAACCTGTTTATTTGGTCACAACACTGGATAACACAATGGAAGATCTGTTAACATTGGAATATGTGAAGGTAACTGGTTCCATTTTTAGCTGCTTGATAGATTAAGTATGCTGCTGAAATTTTATAATCAAGTTTTCAAAGTTTAGTAATATTTTGTTTGTTTAATATTTAGTCCTAGTGTAATCTCAGTAACTCCTATCTTGATAATAAGAATGATAATATGCAACATGTATTGAATACTTGCTGTGTGTGCTATGTGCTGGAGAAGCCCATACTTAACAAATTTCTTTTGTTCTAGTAAGGAAATTGCTTTGTTCTTGTGAAGCACTTGCCTTTTTCCATAAATGTATATACTTAACCTAAAATCCGTAATCTATATATAGTTACTGTATACATACATACCCCGGGAAAATTATATAAATGCATGTTAGGACTATTATTAATTGTATGAACACATTTTCCTAAGATATGCTAATAGACTTGTTTTCTGTTTTGATAGGCTGAAAATAATGCACCTAATTTGAAAAGTACCTATAACAATGTTTTACAACTGCTTAAGGTATGATTGAATAACAATTTACTTTTAATTGTGTGTATTTTTTTTGTCCAAGTGTATTATGGAAATTATCTCTCATTATAAAATCCTTGAGGATAAAACAATATTATAAATTGTATCCTTGATAGCACAAAGCGTAAGTCCTTATAGAGACTACACAAGCAAATTTTTATTGACCTGTTATTAAAATCAGCTTCGTTCTTTAGGTGAATTTTTCATCTTTGGATATTCATTTACATACTGAAGCACTTCTGAATACAATGAATTATCTCAATAACATCCTTCCACAATCAGTGGAAAAACCAACCTCAGTGTCTGTTCCAGAGACTGAAGACAAAGGAGATGTCATTAAAAAATTGGGTATCTTTCTTTAAAATTCAATTGCAATTTCTTTTTTAAACAAGTAGATCATTAAATTTAGGACTGGGACTTATTGTTAACTTATATTAATGACTTCAGGATTCTGGTGTATAGACTACTATCCAAAGGATTCATGATTTATTGAGTTAATTTTAGAAAATAATATTAAAGGCAAAGGAAACCAATTACTGCTGAAGAAAAGATTTTTGTCATGCAGCTGATTATACAGAAGATTATATAGTAGAAGTATTTGATTTGGATTAAAATTCATGCATTTAATAATTAAAAGCATTATTTTAGATTAAGAGGAATGTAAGCCTTGGTAACTTAGCATGACCCTGTTTCAAAATAAAAACTGAAGTAGCTCAGTGGGGAAGTGCCCTTTGATTCAATACCCAGTACCATAGAACAAATAAAAAAACTAACAAAATTTGAGTAATATCAGAGTTGTGAATTATTTGTGTGTGTACATTTTTTTTTCTTCTTTCAGTGCTAGGGATCAAACCTAGGGTCTCATACATGCTAGGCAAGCACTTTGCCAAATGAGCTACGTCCCCAGTTTTGTTCAGAGTGTATTTTTAATCAGAATAAGATTGAGTATCCCAGTCCAAGAATTTGAAATTCTTCAAAATCTGAAACTTTTTAAGTCTCATGTGTGCTAAAATGTTTTAGATTTTGGAGCCCTGTTTTGGATTTTTGGATTAGGTGTGCTCAGCCTATTACTATTTAAAAGCAACAAAAATTTATAATTTTCACAGTGATAGGTGTTTCCTAGTAGACATCAAGTCTTAGAAGTTTAGAATTTTATAGCTACAGTTGCTTAGTTTCAAATAAGTAGTCTCCCCTAGGAACAGTATTTCATTTTGCTTTTTTTTTTTTCATTAGGTATGATAATTCTTTAGAAATCCTAAGCCAGTAGGAAATGTCTTATTTTGCTTTTAGTTGATGCAAAGCAGACTTTTAATATCATTATTTATGTTGATAGTTCAGTTACTTTTTAAGTGTAGTATGGTAACTGCTAAACTTTTCCTTTTATTTTACAATATGACTTTTTTTTTTATAGCTTTAAAACTATCCATGAATGAAGATATTATAACCTTGCAGATTTTAGCAGAATTATCATGTATACGGATTTTTATTCAAGATCAGAAACATAACATTGCCGAAATTAAGATTGAAGGTAATAAATCTCATAAAATAAATCCAATAAATGATTAAATGAAACAAATAAAAACTATTAGTCATCTTTTTATTTCCTTAGGACTTGATTCTGAAATGATTATGAGGACTTCAGTTATGGAAATAAATGCCAAGCTAAGGAATATAATTGTTTTGGATTCTGATATAATGGCTGTGTACAAAAAGGTAAGAATTTGTTTTCATTAATACTACATCACTAAATATGATTGTCCTTGAAGAGTGGTCATACTTTGCTAAATTTTAGCAATGTGTATGAGTTTTATAGTCAGGCATATGGGATTATCTTGGCTCTATTCCTTAGTAGTTGTGTGATCCTTAGCAAATTACCTAATCTCAAATTTCATTTCTTTTCTTTGAGTACCCTGCATGTCATAATGAGTTTCAGATGCCAACATCAGAAGGGCTGAGATTTTTTTAAAGCTTATTTCCAGGGATGCTAACCAATATAGCTGTTATGTTAAGAGAGCTGTTTGAACTGAATGCTTAGTGACTGAAGAGTAGGTGTTTTGTTACTAGATATAAAATAGTAGGGATTCTGGATTTGATACTCTTATGGAGTTGGACAGATAATTCTTGAATAACGAGGTCTGAAGAGTGAAGGAATATTAAATAGTAAGATCAGAAAACCCGTACTTCTTGAGCCAGGAAGTCAGCATTTGGAATTTGACAAGAAGAAAGGAGAAATGCACAAATGGACTTAAGAGTATTCTAATCAGCTTTTTCACTGCTGTGACTAAAAGACCTGACTAGAACAGTTTATAAGAAGGAAAAGTTTATTTTGGGACTCATGGTTTCAGAGGTCCATAGAACATTTGCCTATTTCTCTAGGTCTCAGAAATGGAACATTCTGGGTGACCCTGTCCCTTTTCCTCATGGCATTTAACTGATATATTTGGTGGCTCCTACATGGGACCAAATATCCTACTGTGTCACAGCAGAAGGGGACCTCGAAAGATATTGTCCAAGGAGGATTTCTTATTCTTCCCCCAGGTATAGTTTTCTCATATCCTTGTCCCTAGAATTTTGAATCTTCACCTGAACCTTGATGGCCAGGTTTTCTGCCCTTTTGTATCTTAAGATTTTGTTCTGAGAAGTGGATAATCCTGGTGGTCCTTTGGACTTTTTTGCATTGGAGTCTTCTTTCCTTTTCCAGGAATATACCAAGGAATACTCTGTCTGATGTTCTACTTTGTCTTTCTCATGATCTCCCAGAGAGGTCCATGAAGTACCTTCAGCTGAGTGTGAACTAGTCTTGTGTTTATGGCTTCCAGGGTTTCATTATCTCACATCAGTTCACAGTCCATCTTTATCACTTTGTTTTGTTTTTATTCTGAGGCATTTTACCTAGCTTGTATGGTACCTGGCATCTCTCTATCCTGCTTTCTACCACAAGTGAGCTGGTGCTTATCTTCTGACTTTCCTTGAAGATAAAAGTTTTCCCTTATGTTTTAGGGTGTTTCGTTGTCAAGAGACCTCCTATTTCTAATGGTTCCACGAAAAATTGTGGTGGTTTATTTGGTTTATTCTTGTTTTAGGGTTTGGAATGACTTTCTCTCTAGTTTATGCATCCTAGACAGAAGCATACTGTAGACTTCTTTTCAGACCTCGTATCTTTGACTCCTGAGGATTATTGATGCTGTGGTTGGAATTTATTTGCCTGTTGATGGTTCTTCAGCTCCCTGTTCTTGCTTCTAGAATTTAAGAGAGTTGACAGGACAGTAAGTTAGTGTCCTTCCATGTTCCAAAGTATTAGAATACATTTTACGTCTTCTGTCGTCTCTACCATTTTTAACTGGTATTACAGAGCTTGAAATTTTAAGCCTTTGTAAGTAATTCCAAATTGACAATTAAGATGGGTCTTCACAAACCAATAAGGAATGAGGAGTATAGAAATAGGAGATCCCTTTAAAGAATCTGGAAAATCTGTTCCTATATCTCAGATCAAGAGAAGGTAGTTTTTAGTAAGTTGTAAATATAGTTTTTTTTCAGACTTTTAAAAGTGAGCGAGGATTTTTCATTTAAATGATGACTCTTGGATACAAAAGTATAAACTCTTAAGTGAGAATGCATACGCTGAAATTTTATCTTCATTAAAAATAAAATGCTGAGCCATACCTACTAACATGATTTCATGACCTACAAAGGGAGCTGCCACCATCAGTTTGAAAAACTGTATAGTGTAGGTTCTAATAAAGCAGTGAGAATTGTAGCCTCATTTGTGCTGGCTTGAATATGTGGGAAATTTTCCAAATATGTATGTCTTTTATTATATTTTGCTTTGTTTTGTTTTTATCCTGAGGCATTTTACTTAAAAAATGGATTCTAATCATTGGATTGTTCTCTCATTAAGGCTGTGTATATCACTGGAAAAGAAGTTTTCAGCTTCAAAATGGTTTTTTACACGAATGTAACTGCTGGTTCTGCAGACACAGATATGAATGTGGTTGACGTTCGGTTTAATTTAACTGTTGGTTGCATTGAAGTCGTTTTTGTCACAAAATTTCTATATTCCATAATAGTAAGTATTTTAATTATTTTTATTCTTTTATACTAGTTTAGAATTGGTGTATTAACTAGATAATCAAACCAATGAACAATAGCAAGAATTCCTTGCTTTTAAAAAAAAATTAATAATTTTCTGTGTACCTTTTATAATAGTGACTGAAATGTTCAGTACCTTGTTTATATAGCATCATTTTCACATGGGTATATTCTATTTAATTGAAATTATATTTTATATATTACCACATTAATATATGTAGTGTTATTGTTATATACTATATATTAATTGAAATCTTTTATATATCATTGACTTAAGTATTTGCTTTGCCTGATTTCCAGCTCCAATTTTAAAAATGCCAAACACAATTAAAGTTTGTTTTGGTCTCATGTCATTGTTAAGAAAGTTACATTTTTTATTTCTTTATAATTCTGTGGATGTTTGGATACTTCAAGACCTGATGTGATTCCTATATGACTTTGTGTTAAAGCTTCTGAGTTCTTAGTTGTGCTTTTCATATTTTGTTTTCTGTTTTACCATTGCCATCAGCTATTTTTTCCTGTGAGTGTCATACCTGTCTTTATGATGTCACTTTTTAAAAAAATCTTGTTTCTAAATTTTGGTGTATAAACTAGATAATCAAATCTAAGGATATAAATAGAATAAATAGGCCAAGTATGCATATGTATTGTACATATACAACATGGCATACATATTGATAAGATTAGCAGTTTTTATAAGAAAGGGATTTATATATTTACTTGGATATATTTGGGGGATATGGAGCCCTCTTTTGTTATTTCAGAGTTTTAATCACTTAGAGCTTTTGTGATTTTTCAAATTGAGGTTACCATATAGGTTTGTAGACATAATATAAGGATGAACAAACCTTCTTCGTCTAATTTATGTTTATTACTCAAAACATTATGTCACTGAGCCCTCTTATGATACCCTTTTATTTAAAAATTACTGAAAATAAAATGTAGGTTTTTTTCAGAATGTGAAAATTAATTTTAATCTGATATATTTTATTATTAAGGTAATTTTTCTAGAATTTTAGAAATTTGAAAACTTACTTCAGAATCCTTAAAGAAAGATATTTTATCTTTTCTTTTAAAATTTTACAAACATAGATGGCCTCTCTACATTGAGGTTGTATGTGGTTGTATGTATGAGGTTGTATGTTTTACTTTCAGAGAAGGTATACTAATAAAAGGAATAGGTATCAGTGAAACATTCCCCGTCCTTATTTTGCTTTGTTTAAGAGACTAGATTTTTATTTTATCAATATCTTTGTGTTTATTTGTCAATTTTTACATCAGAAAGTTAAGATTTAATTTAGACAGACTTTGAATAAATAATGCATGGTTATGTGAAGTCAGAGGGTTTTCTTATGGAGGTAAGTTTAGAAACATTAATACATATTTAATAAATCTTATTAATGGTAATGTTAATAGGAATATCATTCTGTCTTTAGGCTTTTATAGATAATTTTCAAGCAGCAAAACAAGCCTTGGCTGAAGCAACTGTTCAGGCAGCAGGAATGGCTGCTACTGGTGTAAAAGAACTGGCACAAAGGAGTTCTAGATTTGCATTAGATATTCACATCAAAGCCCCAGTTGTGGTTATCCCACAGTCTCCTGTTTCTGAAAATGTTTTCGTTGCTGATTTTGGACTTATCACAATGAAAAATACATTTGTTCAAATATCAGAGAGCCAGAGCTATCCCCCACCTATTATTGACTTGATAACAATAAAGCTGAGTGAAATGAGACTATATAGGTAAGTTTTTTGCAAGTATATTTGAGTACAGTGTAATTTTTTTCTAATTTTTTTTTTTAATTTTTATTGTTGGTTGTTCAAAACATTACATACTGATATATCATATTTCACACTTTGATTCAAGTGGGTTATGAACTCCCATTTTTACCCTGTATACAGATTGCAGAATCACATCAGTTACACATCCATTGATTTACATATTGCCATACTAGTGTCTGTTGTATTCTGCTGCCTTTCCTATCCTCTACTATCCCATCTCCCCTCCCCTCCCTTCCCCTCTTCTCTCTCTAGCCCCTCTACTGTAATTCATTTCTCCCCCTTGTATTTTTTTTCCCTTTCCCCTCACTTCCTCTTGTATGTAATTTTGTATAACCCTGAGGGTCTTCTTCCATTTCCATGCAATTTCCCTTCTCTCTCCCTTTCCCTCCCAAGTCTCATCCCTGTTTAATGTTAATCTTCTTCTCTTGCTCTTCGTCCCTACTCTGTTCTTAGTTACTCTCCTTATGTCAAAGAAGACATTTGGCATTTGTTTTTTAGGGATTGGCTAGCTTCACTTAGCATAATCTGCTCTAATGCCATCCATTTCCCTTCAAATTCTATGATTTTGTTATTTTTTAATGCAGAGTAATACTCCATTGTGTATAAATGCCACATTTTTTTTTTATCCATTCGTCTATTGAAGGGCATCTAGGTTGGTTCCACAGTCTTGCTATTGTGAATTGTGCTGCTATGAACATCGATATAGCAGTGTCCCTGTAGCATGCTCTTTTTAGGTCTTTAGGGAATAGACCGAGAAGGGGAAAAGCTGGGTCAAATGGTGGTTCCATTCCCAGCTTTCCAAGAAATCTCCATACTGCTTTCCAAATTGGCCGCACCAATTTGCAGTCCCACCAGCAATGTACAGGTGTACCCTTTTCCCCACATCCTCGCCAGCACTTGTTGTTGTTTGACTTCATAATGGCTGCCAATCTTACTGGAGTGAGATGGTATCTTAGGGTGGTTTTGATTTGCATTTCTCTGACTGCTAGAGATAGTGAGCATTTTTTCATGTACTTGTTGATTGATTGTATGTCCTCCTCTGAGAAGTGTCTGTTCAGGTCCTTGGCCCATTTGTTGATTGGGTTATTTGTTATCTTATTGTTTAATTTTTTGAGTTCTTTGTATACTCTGGATATTAGGGCTCTATCTGAAGTGAGAGGAGTAAAGATTTGTTCCCAGGATGTAGGCTCCCTATTTACCTCTCTTATTGTTTCTTTTGCTGAGAAAAAACTTTTTAGTTTGAGTAAGTCCCATTTGTTGATTCTAGTTATTAACTCTTGTGCTATGGGTGTCCTATTGAGGAATTTGGAGCCCGACCCCACAGTATGTAGATCGTAGCCAACTTTTTCTTCTATCAGACGGCGTGTCTCTGATTTGATATCAAGCTCCTTGATCCATTTTGAATTAACTTTTGTGCATGGCGAGAGAAAGGGATTCAGTTTCATTTTGTTGCATATGGATTTCTAGTTTTCCCAGCACCATTTGTTGAAGATGCTATCCTTCCTCCATTGCATGCTTTTAGCCCCTTTATCAAATATAAGATAGTTGTAGTTTTGTGGATTGGTTTCTGTGTCCTCTATTCTGTACCATTGGTCCACCCGCCTGTTTTGGTACCAGTACCATGATGTTTTTGTTACTATTGCTCTGTAGTATAGTTTGAAGTCTGGTATCACTATACCGCCTGATTCACACTTCCTGCTTAGCATTGTTTTTGCTATTCTGGGTCTTTTATTTTTCCATATGAATTTCATGATTGCTTTCTCTATTTCTACAAGAAATGCCATTGGGATTTTGATTGGCATTGCATTAAACCTATAGAGAACTTTGGGTAATATCGCCATTTTGATGATGTTAGTTCTGCCTATCCATGAACAGGGTATATTTTTCCATCTTCTAAGATCTTCTTCTATTTCTCTCTTTAGGGTTCTGTAGTTTTCATTGTATAAGTCTTTCTACATTAAAGACTTTGGTAGCTTAAATTGTTTGCAGTGGGATTGTAGTTTATTTTAACTATACTTCATTTTGTGATTCTCTCTCCCTCAAATATTTTTGGGAATATCAATTATAGTCTTTTAAAAATTGTTTTGTATTGGAAGTGCTACAGCTAGTTGAATTCAAGTGACACTGAATTCTTTTTTTTAATTTATTTTTATTAGTTCTAATCAGTTATCCATGAAAGCAGAAAGCTTTTTGATTCATTGTATTCAAAAATAGAGCACAACTTTTTATTTCTCTGGTTGTACACGATGTAGAGTCATACCACATGTGCAGTCATACATGTACCTAGGGTATTGGTGTTCATATCATTCCGTCATCTTTCCTGCCCCCATGCCCACCACCCTTTTCCTCCTTCCCCTTGGCCCTATCAAAATTTGTACATTCTTTTCACAGCACCCCCCTATTATGGATCAGCATTCACTTACCAGAAGAAATACTCGGCCTTTGGTTTTTAAGGATTGGCTTACTTCACTTAATATGATATTCTCCCACTCCACCCATTTACCTCAAATGCCATAATTTTATTCTCTTTTAATGCCGAGTAATATTCCATTGTGTATATATACCACAGTTTCTTTATCCATTCATCTGTTGAAGGGCATCTAGGTTGGTTTCACTGTTTAGCTGTTGAGTGACACTGAATTCTTGACAAGCTGGTGTGACTTAAGGTTAGGGGGCCAGGATTCTATTGAATGAGGGTCATGCTAATGAATAATGGTGATGGAAGCTATTAAAGACAAGAGGGTAGTGATAATGTGAAAGGATATAGAGGCATATATAGATTGGAGATTCAATAATATCAGTCTTAAAAAATAAGAACTATTTGTTGATGTATTATAGCGTGAGTAAAAGTGGTAAACCTGGGTCTTGTTATTCTTAAAGGAACAGTGAGAGATGGGAGGCATCATCACAAACTAAGAAAAATTATTTCTCTTACCCTGAGATAGGCAGGTTATTGGAGAAAAACTGACATCTGTTTATAGAACTTCTTGGAAAGCCGTGTTTCGGTTAAGATAAGAAATGAATGATATAGTTAGTGAAGACAGTTGGAAAATGTTGAATGATTTGTTATCTAAGTCCAGGGATTTTGGAAATTACAGGAAAATACTAAGATAAGAGATTTCTGTTTTATTAGTAGGCTATAATATGCATTAATACCTTGAAGTTTCAAGTGGTTCAGTAACCTGGAGAGTTTGAAATGTAAGTTTCCATTGCTAAAATAGAATATTTATACTTTCATTTCATCATGTATTGTTTGTTTTAAAGAAATGGTAGATGTAAATGAGGTGTGAATCTATTGGTAAAATAGATTGCTTGTGTTTAACAAGAGTCCACAATTGTCTGTAATAATCATAATATTTATTATTTTATCTCCAAAATTGTTAATTTTATTGATAATGAGCATAAAAGATTGTTAACAATCTCTTGAATATCCCAAAATAACTGCTAACAATTTGGTCTTTTTGTTACAGTTCATTTTATTTGCATTTATATTTAACTTCAGTAAAATTAGGATTATATTGTGTGGCTTGTGTTGTAAATTGCTTTTTTCTAACAACAGGCTGTATTTTTTCATGTTTTTATTTTGAATGCATAATTTTTTCTTAATAGTTTATTACTTAGTTTTTAAAAATAAATTTTGTTAGGAATTTAAATTGATTCAATTTCTTTTTGATATTATAACACTATAATGATGATTGTTTTTTTGTTTGTTTATCAGTACTGATATGATCATCTTCTTTACTTTTTTTTGGACAATTCATTTCTGTAGGTTGAATTCTTACAAATAGAATTGTTCAACTAGAGTATAACCACTTTTTCCTGAAATAACTTTTAAAAAGTAATTGGTTTGTGAAAATACAGTTTAGTTACTATTTTTCTCCACATAAGCAAGGACAACAAGTTCTTTATATTGTTGTATATATCTTAATCCAATTTCTTGAATACAGTTTAGCAAATATTTATTAATTATATTACTTATGCCAATAATCTGAACTAATACTAGTAACACAACAAAGAATAAGATAACATAGTCCAGTGCCTTCCCATGAAGTTTTCACTATAATTGAAATTCATAAGTGGACTGTATACACTAAAATGCATTATATGAAATACTTTGATAGAAAAAGTTCAAAGAACTTGTAGGCACACATAGCCAAATTATCTAGCCCCAAGATATAGAGTAATATTAACACAAAAGATTTTTCCAGAGGAAATAATGTTTTAATTTAGTATTTATGTTTCTTATAGTTTATTTACTCAAATATTTTGAAGGCTATGATCCAAGTATTTATTACAGTGAAGAACTAGAAATAACATATTTTTCATGATAGAAGGCTGATTAAATGACTTAGGACTTAGCTCTATGTTATGATATGTAGCCATTAAAGTTGAATATGCAGTATTACCTTATAGAGTTTTTAGATTCCTTATTTTATTACAGTTAAGTAGAAGATTGCAAGCATGCATGCATGGATAAGTATAATGCCACTCTGTATTCCATTCATCAATTGGTTTGATAACTAGACATTCTGAGAGATCCTTGATGATTCCCATATTTCTTTCCCATTGTATAAACAATAGCTAAAATTACAGTAGTATCCTGATATTCTAATTTAAGGATTTGCTGTCAGTTAAACTATAAATACATTACTAATTGTTTGAGATTGTCACTTGAAGATACAATAGGAAGCTTCTATGGTCATATTGTCCTTGAAGGGTGTTTTAGTCAGCTTTTTTGTTACTTATCACAAGGCCTGATAAGAAACATGAAAAAATTTATTTGGGGCTCCTGGTTTCAGAGGTCTATGTTCATAGATGGCTGACTCCATTGCTTTAGGCTTGAAATGAGGCAAAAGATTATGGCTGAGATATGGAGGAGGAAACAGCTCAGGACACGGCAATCAAGATGCAGAGAGAGAGAGCTCTGCTCAACAGGGACAAAATATAAATCCCAAAGGCATGTCCCCAGTGACCTGCCTCCTCTAGCCATGCCTTACTATCTTCAGATACAACCCATTTAATTTCTGTCATTGAACCCAGTTAATCCTTTTTAGTGGATTAATCCACTGACTGGATCACAACTCTCATAATCTAATCATTTCACCTCTGAACCTTCTTGCATTTTCTTACATGTGAGCTTTGAGGTACACTTCATATCTAACAAAGGAATTCAGTGACCTGATCTTTTCTTGATTCTTGAGCATCAATCCTACTTTTATCAGTACTTGGAAAACCAAATATGGTTCAGCTTTATATAAAATTGTACATACTCAGCTATTTTGATCCATAGAAATAGAAATTTCATATGGTACAACTTTATTTCTTTTTAAAGTAAGGAAATATGCAGTATTCTGCTACATATCTGAATCAGTGTAGTAAAATGTTTTTATAATGAGGTTTTATGTAATGGTTGTTTACTGATTATATAGAGATAGTTCTGGATTTGGAATACAGCGAGTATTTTTTGTCACTTTTTACCACATTGTAAAATGCTATTTAAGAAATTAATTTATCAGATAAAGTCACCTTTGTTTCTATAGGGACAGAACATCTCTCATGTTGATATGTAAAATGTAGCCCAACAGAGTTTCTTCATACCCAAAATTTATTGATTTCTCTTTTATATAGAAGTTTATATAAGTTAATCTTTGTCCCTCCACCCTCATCTGACTATATATGAAACAGTTCATAGAAATTTTGTTTCTACTTACAGGTCTCAGTATTTTAATGATGCATACCAGGAAGTACTGGACCTATTACTGCCATTAAATCTTGAAGTGGTTGTTGAGCGAAATATGTCCTGGGAATGGTACCAAGAAGTTCCTTGTTTTAATGTAAATGCTCAGCTAAAACCTATGGAGGTAACATTCTGGTTGCTCTTTGATTTCTGTTTTTGTTTTTGTTGTTGTTGTTTTTCATGGGAAATGTTGCTTTGGAGTATAAGAACTTTTTTGGGTAGAATTTTTATATAATCAGTTCGGTCAGAAGGGAAATTGTGACTTATTAGTCTAGAATTTTTTAATATTCTCCGTTTGCTCTTTTAACAGATACTCTAAGGATTTGCTGCCAGTTAAAATATAAATACAAAGGAGTACTTACTGTGTGTGAAGCCTTGTGTTAGGTGCTGGAGATATAGTGACAAAGAAGATATGACATTTTACTTCATGTAACTTACAAGTCTAAGGCAGTGGTTGGTGGTGATGGTGATCTGGAATAAATATGCACTAGTTAGATAGTAAAAAGTGAATGGACACGTATTTAAAATAGTTATAAATTGTGATAAATTCCATGAAGGAAACAGTCAATTAGTTGTATTCATGGAGAATTTAGTGGACAGGTCTAGGCTGGAAATATTATTTGATAAGTTATCAGCATATAATATTTAAAACTATGGTAAAATATGAAATAACCTGTAAAAAAAAAAGTTAAAGGAAGAGAATGTCTAGAGGAGTGGGGAGGTTGAAGGTGAAAATGGTAAATGTTGTCATCACCTTAGTTATAGCTTTGTTCATTGACATTACTTTGCAGATCTCTAACACACCACCCACAAGTCCTTATTTTTCCCTTCTGACAGGATTGAAGTCAAAACTATTATCACATGCTTTACTGAAGTGGCAGCAACATATACTCTGTTTATTCTTAAAGAAATCTACTTAGATCCTTCCCCGCCTTCCATCCCCAGTTTTCCTTTCTATTTCTCTATAAAATTTTATTCAAAAAGAGAAAACCATCATGTTTGAGATTTCAGACTTTTTAAGTCAAAATTATATACAGTGTTTAAAATGTGATGGTGTCAACTGAGAGTCTTTAAGCTTTTAGTAAGTAAGGTAATATGAATGCGTTAACTTATAGGGTTGGGGATGAATGGTGTCTTCAGATAAATTTTTGAAATATTTAAATTCTCTTTATATTGGTAAGAGAACAGATAGAAACTTAAAAAACATAAATAGCATATTCTACCCAGAATGCAGGGAGATCCACATCCCACTATGTTATTAGGCAGATTTTCGTGTGGCAACAGATTTTGTTTTCGCTCACTGTTCTCAGGAGACTTCATGCAGAATATTCATGTGATGCTGCAGATCACCTGCAAATACCTGGGTGCCTTCTGGGGCAGATTCACTAGGAGGAAGTTCAGTCTTCCCCTACCCTGATTCACCTGAACAATTAGCAAGTATTGCCGTAGCTCACTCCACAGCCCACATATTTTATCCCTTTTGGACCTCATGTTTATACCCTAGGACCTTATTCTCTGTCAGAAGCTGGAATGAAGTAATTTAGACTCATGTATGCAGACCAAGTGCAACAACTTTTGATTTCTGCCTGCCCTGACTTGTAGGAGCCATATATCAGCGGTCTTGCAATCCTTACAATTCTTCTAGCTTCTTCCAGTGAGCTGCTGTCTAGATTGAAGAGTTAGGATTAAAAATCAGTATTTGAGGGGAATTCATTGTACTGTACTAATTGAAAGAAATGATTTAAAAGTTCTAACATTTAATTTCAGCTAACTAATTTATATGAACATATTATTTTTGCAATGCTTGCACCATAATGAGCACAAAATAGTGTCATGAGTAAAAAGAGAATGAATGAAAGTTTTTAAAAAAACATAGGTAGCATGAATAAAGTATATATGGACTTTATCTTAAAAACTAGATGAAGTACAGTCAAAGGAAGCCTGATTTCAATACAATTGTAAAATTTTGTGTAATTAAAATCCCTTTAGCTTTTTACAACCAGAAATAAAAACAGTTTTGACAAGTTCAGAATTAAGTCACAATTTCGCAATTAAAAAAACTGTCTTGATCACATACATCAATTTAAAATTCATTTTTTTAAATATATAAATGCTGTTACTTTATTCATGGTTCTCCAAAGAAATAAATAATAGGAATGGTGTGGTAGGGGTAAAAGGGAGAGATTTAGCTTAAGAAATTGGTACATATGATGTGGAGGCTAACAAGTTCAAAAGGTACAAGGTAGGCCAATACAAGGCACAGGAAAATGTTGATGTTGCAGCAGTCTTAAGGTAGCCTGCAGCAAAATTCTTGCTTGAAAGGGGTCAGTCTTCTTTCTAGGGAATGCATTCAACTGATTGGATGAGGCCAACTCTGTCATGGAAAGGAGTCTCATTTGCTCAAAATCTACTGATTTAAATGTTAATCTCATCAAACAAAAAACTTTAGAAGAATGTCTAGAATAATATTTGACAAGATATTTAGCTACTGCGAACCAAACTAATGAAACATACCATACCTTTGTGTGTACATACAATTAACCACTATATCTCTCATGATAGGTCTTATGGTGTTGGTATAGGCTAATTTCAAAACAAGTGGGGTTTGAAGTTAACTGTGAGAGAGTTATTGAAGTTTATGTGAACTTAAGCATTTTACTTAACTGTTTAGGTTTATTTTCTTATAAAATCAGGATTATATTTCACATACTTAAGACTTTTGTGAGATTGAAATAAAATAATTCATGCAAAACACATTATATATTTCATCACACAAATATACTGTTATTTTGGCTGTTCTATCTTTTATAAAATAGATGATTAATAATCAAAAGTGTCCAAAGTATTGGATAACTACTGACCAATGAAAGTTCATTTTAAAGGTTTAAAATTACTGGATTATTTGGCACATTCATAACAAGTAGTTCACTGCCAGTAGTTATCTAATTTAGTTGTGTATTTCACAAATTCCTAAAGATCACATGGCATTTAGAAAACTGAATGTTCTTATGCATTAAAATTTTAATCTAAATTTCAGTTAGAGAGCTAAAATTAAATAAGTTTTTCATTTTTCTTACATGAGAATTTTAAGGGAAGGATATAGGGGTATTAAAAAGAACAAATCTTTTTTTTGTTGTTGTTATACCAATACCGAGACCCTCAAATAACTCTCAGACCACACATTGCCATTCCAATTAAGCTTTTATTGCTGGCCACCAGCAGACACTCTAACTCTCTAAAAGCGAGATGGTCAGAGTGACGCGCCTACCTTCAGTTGGCCTCATATTTAAGCCAAAAACAAAAACAAAAAACCCACAAAAGGGACGTTTGAGGGTTTAGCCAATATAAGCAAGAAAGTACAGAAGCTGAATTGTGCAGTTAATGAGACAGTATAATGGGTACTTTGGTATTTCCCACAAGACTTTCCAGTTGGCATAGCAGCAAGCAAGCAGAAAGGAAGTGGGTCAAAATGATCCTAGTTGAGTACAAGTTAGAGAATGGTTACTAAAGTCTAGACAGTTAATCTCTGACAAGGTACGTTGCCCTAGAAATATAGAAAGCAAAGAGAACAATTTTACATTGTATAAGAATTGCTAGGTAACTGTTGATGGGTACAGAGTTGGGGCTTTCCCATGGGAGAAGCATTTCTTACATGATATGGAGTCTCAGGGTAAAATGGAGTCTGTTTGGTCATTGCCTTACCCTGGCCCATAACATTTTTCCTTGTATTTTCTTTTTTTATTTTCCTAAATTATTTTTTTAAATAGTTTATTCTTAGTCAAGAAGATATGACTACTATTTTTAAAACATTATATGGCAACTTATGGTATGAAGATGTTAATGCCTCATCTGCTAGTGTGAAAGACCACTCTGGCAATTCTAATGGAGTAGCTAATGCTTCATACCATTCAGGAGGTAAGTTAACCTTAAATTGGTTCCCCCTTTTCATGCTTTCTGTCCTCTCTCTATTTATTCTTCCCCTCCTCTCCTTTGTCCCCTGCCCCATCTCCCTCTTTTCTCCTTTCTTCTATTCCTTTTTTCCTTTCTCCTCTCTTTCTTTCCTTTCCCTTTCTCTTTCTTCTTCTCATAGGATTAATAAATCTCTTTCTAATGCTCTAATTCCATTTAGACATTCATAAATTATCTCTTTTATTAATCATTCTGTTGATATTTATCCTTTGAATTAAAATTCCTAGTTCTGTTTTGTTACTTTTTTCTCAACTTTCCTATAGGTCCTTCCATCTGCTTGCAACCCTCTTCCTTATCCTTATAATAGTATACAATGGTATTAGGAATATCAAAATATTATGAGTGTATATAGAAAGATGATCATTGTAGATGATGGGTTTTAACATATGTTTTCAAGATAAATGGCTGAAAAATAGGATAGAAGGAATCATAACTTAGAAAGTTGTTTTCCAGTGTTAGATCCAAAGTGCTATGTGGAATATAGCTGGGTGCTAAGTTCAGTACTAGCGTGTGAAAAATTGGGTTAGTTAGGAATGCTAAGATGATTTTGATGCAGAATAATGAAGTGTTATCCTCATTGTACAATTTGGAGATCCCCAAACCTACCTACCATAAAGTAAAACCTACTAATCCATGATGTCTACATTTTCAAAGCCCTGAGGTATTATATAGCTTTACCACTTGGAGAATCCTTACACAAAAATAACCTTACATTTACAGCAATACTGGAAACCCATCCTTACTATCTAATCAACACAGTCCTTTATTGTTAAACATAAATGGTCAGATTTGAGGAAAATCACAAGAGCACAAGCATGAAAGAAACAATAAATACATTAGTGTTTTCTAAAATAAACAAATAATTGAACAGTATATACTTATAGTGCAGAAGTGTAGCATACTAAATTTTGCATAATTGAGCCACTGTTAGCAACTCTCTAAAATAAAGAAATTCTCTTCTCTCACATTCTATTTTAGAGAGTTGCTTTATCGAAACTGTAGCAGCAGAGGTAGTATCATAATAAACTACAAATCCCCAAAAACACAGGGATGAAAAAGTGTTGCTTCAGTTCAGAAAGCCCAATTCCAGAATAATAGATACTGCAGGGGAAATATCTGAGAGAATGAAAGCTTCCAAATAGGTATTAAACTCTGTATTTAAGTAGAATATCAAGTCAACTCTTATAAAGAATCTACCAGATTTTAAGCAGCTTGAGTAAACTATGTCTCCCCATATAAAAAAAATTTCCTTTTTTTAACTATCAGAACCAAAAATGGTAAGATTTTAAAAGTTACGAGAAAAAAAGAAACAGGCTGCCTACTAAGGGACTAGATTATTGATTGTGTGTGTGTGCAGGGGTGTATTGCTTTTGCATTATCAGTAGAACTTGATAAGATGGGAATCTGGATAATAGGTGAAAATAGAGCAATATTTCAGAATTCTGAGAAAAGTGATTTTAAAGCTAGGATTCTGTATATGGCCAAACCATCATCTAAAATGTGAAAACAAAAGAATTCTTAGATTTTTCATTGATTAAAGTGTACTCTGGGCTGGGGTTCTGACTCAGTGGTAGAGCACTCTCCTCCTACTCTGGATTGGAACCTTAGTACCACATAAAAATAAATAAGTGAAATAAAGGTATTGTGTCCAACTATAACTAAAAAATACAGATTAAAAAAAATGTACTCAAACTCCCAAATATCCACACCTAAAAAATTGAGTTTAAAAATATGTTCCAGCAAGGTAAACTAGGAATCAGAAAGTGGAAAATATCAAACAATAATGGTTCTACCCAGGAGTGCATTTTAAAGAAATCCCAAAATTATATATGTGACTAGGCTGGAAGTACTTGGTTTTCATTAAAAAGGAACCAAGACTATTTAATGAACAAAAAAAATAGAAAAGAAGAAGAAGAAAATTTAGGTAGAATTATGTCCTATATCCTAAGAAAAGTAGCATAAATTGTACATAATTTGTGTGATGAGGACTTAACTATATTTTATAAGTGGCATAGAGAGAATGGTAAGTTTTCTGTTTTTAAGAAAGAAATCTGTATATTGTAATGCAGAAATACAGTGTGCTGAATTTTCCATGATTTTTTAGCTACTGTTAGAATGGGAAAGAAGAATTTTCATTTTTGAGAGATGCACCAGTGTAGCTAAAGTTCCAGAGGCAGTATTATAATAAACTATAAATCTCTTCACTGAAAAATATTACATAGTCCAACAACACATGAAAGACTATGTAGGTGCCAAACCATTTGTAGATGACCTTCTTCTGGGTTAGGATTTCTTACCTAGCAGAGCAGCTCCCTTGCTGTGACCTATTAAAAGTTAGCTCTTGGTATAAAGGTTTGGAGGGCAAGGGAAGACAGAGAAAGAGTATATAAATAAGCAAATGTTATTAACCATAATAATAAGGAAGTAAAGACAGAACTAATTAAATCTGGAGAGGAAGATGTGACAGGTGAATGAAATAATATATAAATAATCGGAATTATGAAGATAATATCTAAAATTGATGGCACAAGAAATAAAGGTTAGAATATATTGTTATTTTAATAATTTTCTTCTGGAAATTTTTATACCTATGTCATTTGAACTGAATAATGATCAACATAAAATATGAAAAAATTTGTGAACTGCAACTTAAGCAATGCTGAAAGAAATTTGTAGCTATAAAGAATTATATTAGTCTACTAGACTATTATAATAGACTTACAATGCCAAATGTTGATGGAGAAAATGGAATTGCTAAAACTTTCACATATGACCTGTAGGAATATGAAGTAGTATAACCAGTTTGACAAAGAGTTTGCCAGTTAATATACACCTACCTATAATAGAGTAACTCCACACTTAGGTATTTAACCCCACCCTATTCCAAAATAAGTGTGTATATACACAAAATGATTTATTCATAGAAGTCCAAATCTAAAAATAATCCAAATGTTTTTCAATAGGTGAATGAATAAACTGTTTTCAGAGTGCATGATTACTTCCATAAGTGAACTACTGATGCATGTAGTAACATAAATAAATCTCAGAAACATTATGTTCACTGAAAGAAGCCAACCATGAAATGGTACAATCTGTATTATTCCATTGAAATAGAATTTAGGCACAGACAAAATTAATCCATGATGATTGAAATTAGAATGGTAGGGATGTTGGAATTTGACTGGAAAGATCAATTAAAGAGACTTTCGCGGGGGGGGGGGGATTTAAATGTTCCATATGTTGGGGGGTTGGTTACATGGATGTATACATTTATGAAGTCTCATTAAGTTGTTCGGATAGGATTCATTTATTTCATTTTATGTAAATATTATCTTAATTAGAAATAAATTACCTGGAATGTTGATCTTGTCTCTTGAGTTGGGTTGAATGAGAATTAGGAATTGATGTGTTTTCCTTATAAACCCATTTAATATATATCATATACATATAACATTCTCATTAAAATTTAAATGTAGGAAACACAATATTTGAGTCCTGATTAGTGGAACAATTTTTAAAATAACATCTAATGTATCTTATTTGGTCTTATTTTTTAAAAGTAAAATTTCAATATTAAACTATGTGACAGGTGCTTTATTTACTTATTGTTAAGCACTTTAGTATACATTTTACACATGCTGATTTACTTAATCTTCAAAACAAACCCTGTGGTTAGTTTTATTATTCCCAAATTATAAAAGTAGAAATGGAAGCATTGATAGAAAACAGGAGTGCTGAGTGTTTAATATTCCCAAATTATTATGCAAAGAATCCCAAGCCAGAAATTCTATATGTGAATTTCTAATATTTTTAATTTTCTTGAATAACATCTTAATTTGTTGAATCTATTTCATGGTTGTTCTAATAAGCTACTTTTCATATTTTTTTCTCTTACTCAATAATTTTTCAAGGAGCAACTATGGTAACAGCTGCTGTTGTAGAAGTACATTCACATGCTTCTCAAGACAACACTAAATATGAGTTTCAAAACTGATTATCTCACCATGGTACTGTATAGTCCAGGTCCTGAACAGGTAAGTTGAGGAAGAAAAGAAAATACATTTTATTGTGAAAAATTATATATGTGAATGTTTATCAGTAATGCTTGTTCATATTCTGTGTGTATTTTGTAGTGTTCTTCTGAAGAAATGGTTGATCTTTTCACTTTAAATTGACAATAATTTTGACCATTTCCATTTTTAATTAGCTATTACTTTTATATAACTAATAATGTGAAAAATAAATTATTTTTGGCATTTTATTGGAGAGTCCTTTGAAAATATAGAATTTTGGAGCAGAGGTTATATATAGCTCAGCAGTAAAGTACATACTCAACATGTGCAAAGCCCTGGAATTAGCCCCTGCATCACTCCCGAAATTAGAGAATTTTGATATTTCAGATAAGCAGATATAATAATTTCTAGTAGTTTATATCATAAAGTATACTTTAAACCTATTTTTGTATAATTTTCAGATTTCTGTTTGGATTTCTTATTCCACAGGAGGCTTTTACAGATGTTCGTGATCCTTCTCTGAAACTTGCTGAATTCAAGTTGGAAAATATTACAAGTAATTTAAAAATGTATACAGATGAATCAATATTTTCTTCTTTCTCATTAAGAAACTGTATTTTAGATGATAAAAGACCTCACATCAAGAAAGCAACTCCTAGGTATGTATTATAATAGCATTCTGAATTTTTACCTTAGAAATTGTTGGTATATTGTATAGAGCATACCTTTAGGATTACATTTTAACTTTCTGTTTACATCTTAGGATCTTCAGAGCTTCAGTTCAGTCAAGTCATGATATTCATGTTACATTTGAAATGTTCTGGTTTAGTTATATGCTCTTACTAGACAGTTGATAGATTCATTGAATAAATAAAAATAAATGGGAAAAAGCATGCTGACTTTCAAAAATGATAATTTCTTAAACATGAAGTTTCTAATTTATGAAGTATTTATGCTCCAGAAGTTTAAAGGTCTGTTATTTATAGCACTTTGTGGGTCTTCCTAGGAGACATGACTTCAGAGTGCTTATTTGTTCTTAGTAAAAGAATAAGAGGCCTTAAAGTTTTAATTGGTGTATTTGGTTATTTGTAAATTACTCATACATAGGCATTGTTATTGTGTTTTTCAGAATGATAGGACTGACAGTTGGGTTTGACAAAAAGGACATGATGGATGTTAAGTTTAGGAAAATCAGAGATGGTTCTGTGACTGATGCAGTCTTTCAAGTGTGGAATTCCTGCTGACAGTTGCAAATGTCTTTTTGGAGGCATACACAGCAGGGTCTATTACAGAGACCAATGTTCAAGCATGGACTTCTAAAGAAGGTTAGTTACCAGTTAAAATATTTAATATCTTTACTTTTGAAATACTATAATAGCACTTATCTTGGTTAGCCATTTAGATGATCAGAGTAAATGCAGAAATAAATTAAAATCTTTATTGTTCAGAGTAGGAGGAAACCCTTAATGTGTTTTCTGAGAGTATATGCAGTTTGTATTTTTTTTGACAGTGCAAATATATATTGGGTTAAAAAATTATGAGACCTACATTGGAATAAGTAATTTGCTTATCTACAGGCAACAATATGAACAAATTAAGTTGCCGAAAGAAAACAAGTAGGGAGAATAAGAACCAACCACATCTTTTTGGGATCAAAGATAATATCTTAATTTAATATATTTGTGTTTTATTCTGTTCTGTTGATAAATAGCTTTTACATATAATTTTTATATTTTTTAACATATTTCATGTAGTAGAAAGAGTATCAGGTTGAGATTTGGAATCTAGATTAGGTTCCAGTTGTGCCCTTAAATAGTAAAGATTTTGTCCCACAGTTGTTAGTGTTTCTCCAAGTCATGAGAGAATTGGAGCTTGAATGAGCATGTACTTAGTATGCATGAGTCCATTGGTTTAATCTTCAGTGCCACCAAAAACAAACAAAAAAACAAAGAGAAATTTTGAGTAGATTATTTTCGGATCTATGATTCTTTTATTTTCCTTTTGTACTTAGAGAAACATGTTTTTCTCATAAATAATCAAATACTTATAAGTAATACTTATATAACAAATACATATATATTTAAGATGTTGAATTATTATTTTTATTTTAGCACCTGTACAGGAATCAGAGAAATGGGAAGTTAATATTCTTATTAAAAACCCTGAAATTGTGTTTGTGGCTGACATGCCAAAAAATGATGCTCCTGCCTTGGTCATTACAACACAATGTGAAATTTGCTGTAAAGGTGACAGTAAAAATAGTACAATAACTGCTGCTATTAAAGATCTCCAAATCAGAGCATGCCCATTTCTTCCAGCCAAGAGAAAAGGCAAAATCACTACTGTGAGTTTACTAACTAATTATTTGCTTAATTGTAACTGATTTAATATATAATATATATCATTTTTAGGAGTGAAAATTTCCTATTTTCTTTCCAACCTTGTTCTGTATAATAACTTTGTCTCTGTTCGAAGAGCCTCATTTAGAATATTATTATACCAGTTTTCAAATTTTTTTTTCATTTTTGTAGATGTTCTTCATTGTTGTGTGTGTTTGTGGGAATTTTCTTACTGAGAAGTTGGTTTCATCTTGGTACTTTTCAATTAAGATCTTACTCTGAATTTCTAACCATGTCAGTTTCAAACTGCTCTTTGACTTTTAGGACTTTCTACCAGTTGTTTTCTGTGTTGTTTCAGTTTTATTATTTTCCCTTTTTATCCCCCATTTGGGTGTTTTGCTTGTCTGCATATAACATATTTTCAACCTCAGCCATTTGCTTTGATATACTTCATATTTGAATTTTACTCACTAGTAGTCACTTGGTTTTCTTCCTCCTTAAAACTCTTAATTCTTAGTTTATTTGCATAGATTCCCAATAGTTTAAAAAATACACTTGAAAATGATTAGGCTTCTAAAGGAGTAATAGAAGCATAAATATTCTAATTATGAAATATAATAGACATTATAATTTTAAGTTAATATATATTGATTAAGATATTAAATACAGCTGGGGTGTGGCTCAGAGGTAGAGTGCTCGCTCTACATAAATGTAAAATAAAGATATTGTGTCCATTTAAAAGTAAAACAATAAATATTTTTTAAAAAATGATATTAAATAGGCTGGCCATGGTGGCACACGCCTGTAATCCAAGGCCTGTCCATGTTGTGTTGAACGTCCGAACCTCAGGCTTTGGAGGCTGAGGCAGGAGGATCACGATTTCAAAGCTGGCCTCAGCAATCTAGTGAGGCACCAAGCAACTTAGTGAGACCCTATCTCTAAATAAAATACAAAAAGGGCAATGTGTGTTGCTCAGTGGTTAAGCCCCCTGGGTTCAATCCCCATTAAATGAAAAAATTAAGATACTAAATAAACCTTGTCTTAGTTTGCAAAGTTGCTCATTATTAAGAAAAGGGAGGCTCTAAGGAAAATAACCATGAGCTAGATCTGTCTTTAAAGCAAACAGCAGGTGTCAAGTATATCATCCACAGCAGCAATGAATGTATCAGCATTAATGATGGGGGACAGTTAGTTCTGAAAGATGGAAAAAGTATAGTAAATTAGGGGGAAAGAGATGTATTAGGAAGTTAGGAAAGAGTTTACATTTTCAAAAAGTGAGAGAATGCAGAAGAAATATAGTAGGTAATTTTTATATAGAAAGAAGGAAAAATAGAAGCAACAAATGAAGTGATATTATTACTTTTAATGTTTGATTTTATATATAAAACTTTTAGTATGTTGAGATATAAAGTCTTATACATCTAATTTTATGACAGAAAATATCTTATTAAGTATAGCATTTTATTGTGTGACTATTGGTAGACTGTTGAAAAAATGAATAGTTTTTCCTATTCTTATGTTAAATTATGTTGATAGATTTTCCTGTAGTATACCAGCATTATGTTTATTGGTTGGGGTTATCTGTTGCGGGAGAGTGGGGAGGCGCTTTTCACTGGAAGTCATATTTATGGTGATAACCTAAAGGATAAGTAGATCTTAAACTTGGGCAGGAGGAATCATAGGAATGTATTTTGAGAAGAAGGGAACTGTATGTGTTGAAAAAACTGAGTTTCATAGAACATATTTCCACAACGTATTTACCCAGACATCACCTTATCTCATATATTTTATCTTTTCTCTTTGTTATTCAGTGGTCTTCAACTTGGGGCAGTACTCCCTATCACAATCAATCTCTGCAATGTAAGGAGTCTATTGTGAGCATTTGTTAAGTGCCTGTTCATGTTTGGTTGAACCTTATAAGATTGCTTCTTTGAAGGGGAAGCACTAATAGTCTCCACAGTAAAAATCATATAACAAGGGAGAAATATGGTGAGGGGGTTATAGTAGTAAAAAAGAATAAATTTTTCTGGATTCCTTATAGACAGAGTCTCTGAATATAGATCCTAAATAAAAGAGATCCCCCCCCCAAACAAAAGAATAATAGTATTTTTTTGTGTGATTTCTTTGGGGGAATGGTTTTAGATTTTTTTCTTCCAATTTAGTTTTCTCTGTAAGTGTATTAAACAGAATTCCAAGATTTCTTCCCCCGATTTTTGTTCTTTCTACACAGTTTTTCCTCCCCTATGGATGATATTAGGTTACTAATCAGTTGACTATGTGTTAATGGGGAGTGTGATTATTCTCAGTGAAATATTAGAAATATGATGAAGCATCAGGGAGATGCCGTCTTGCTGTTTTGAATGAAAAATTGCCATGTCAAGGAGCGGGCCACATGGCAAGGACGTAGGGAACAGGAAGTAGTCCCTGACTGACAGAATACATATGGGATCTTAGTGTTAGGGCCACAAGGAAGTGAATTCCACCATCAATTTTAAAGAAGTTGAAAGCAGGTCTTTCCATAGTCAGTCCTCCTTTTTAAGATGAATCCTGTAGGGTATATAAAGAACTCAAAAAGCTAAACACCACATGTTTTATTTTATTGGCCACATGTTCAATTTTGATTTCATCAAAATTCCTGACCCATAAATCTGGGAAATAATACATTTGTGTTATTTTAAACCACTAAATGTGTGGTTATTTGTTTCACAGTATTATAAAACTAATATGTATAGTGTTTTGCTCCAGAAGTAAGATGCTGTTGTAATAATTTATTTTAAATGTGGGAGCATCTTTGGAACTGGGCAGTAAGTAGACATTAGAGAAATTTTGATAATGATAGAGTAAGTCTTAATTATATCAAACACACTCTTGACAAAAATGTGGTGAAGGAGAACATTACCAGTGAGGACTCAGAGGAGAATAAAATATACATTATTGGAAACTTGGTGGAAGAGGAGATTGGTACACAGTGATTAAGAAACTTCACAGAATTGACTTATGGTTACATAGAAAATGGAACTTGTGACAAAGTTTGGCATGTATAGCTAAAGAGATTGCCTCTTGCCTGTTTTTTTTTTTTTTTTTGCTGTTTATAATAAAATACTGGAAGACAGAAATAAATTGCGGAAAAATGTTAAAAAGAACCAGAATTTAATGATTTTGATAATTCTCAGCCTTTCCAAATGGCAAAAGCTTCTAGAAAGCAGAACTGGGTGTCTAGAGGGTAATCTGGAGAAAAGATTGTGTGATTATATAATGTTTTGCTAACACCTAAGAAAGATAAATGTTCAGTCACTTAAAGGTCCCCTTCACAAGATTAGGATTTGTTTGGTATCTTAATCCAGAAGGCCTCTATTAAGCACAAGGGTGTTACTCATTAGTCTTCTCATGAGGAGACCAGGTTTTCTTCAAAAAGAGATATTTGGATGTGGCTTTTGTGTAATGGAATGAATTCTCATGAAATCCACAAAAGACTTGCAGACTTCCTAAGAAAATTATTTTGCCTGAAACACTATTATATTTAGACTGACAAGGACTGAGTATCAAATGAATAGAGACTCTTGAACCCCCAAAATTCTACCATTGAGGGGAAGAATGATAAAACTTTAAAGGTGCAGATTTGCCCTATCTTTTATAAAGAAGGAAGGAAGATTTAGAGAGAGGAGCTGAGAGAGAATTATTCCCAGGTTTGAAAACTGAATCAAGAAACTCATTTGCCTGGCTAGATTTCAGAATTGTTTTGGATTCTGTTGGCTTCTTTTTTCATTCTTTTTCCCCATTTGAACTGGAATATATGTAAACTGTTGTCCTAGTGTATGCCACCATCAAGTGTTGGGAATGGTGGGTGCTGGTAACTCACCTCAAGTTTTAGAAGGAGCGAAATTGTGTCTCAAAAACTATATTTAAAGGATTATATCCAGGAACTTCATATGCAGCTGGTTATGATTTACATTTTAAACTTTATGTTGATAAAAAATAGATGAATTTTTGAATCAGTGAGACATACAAGTCAGATATATGATGAAAAACATAAATGTTAGGAAAGGGTAAATATATTTTGCATTTGGGAGAGACATAAGTTATTCGACAGGCCAGAGGACAGAACTCTGCTTACCACAGTTAGGGAAAATTCAATTTGTTTTTAATTATATTACAGAATTAATTAGTATGCCTAATGTATTGGTAAATTTTCAATTTGCCTTGCCTTTTATAGCTTTTCCTTATGTAGATGAACTTTTTTCATTTTAGTTGTACAGTGGATTAATACTGTGATAAGATTTTATTTTAGTGATTTTAGTGAAGTAAAACACATAGTGTAAGTTCTTTAGATTTTTCATATATTTAAGAATATTAAAGAAGTGTTGAGACAGGCATGTGTGCTTTTTGTCTTTTGCCATGTGACGCCATGTGCCACTTCTAGACCCTGTGAGCAAAAAAGGTCATTACCAGAACTGAGCTGACGCCAATACCATGCCCTTGAACGAGGAGTCTTCTCTTGGAGTGAAATTATCTTTCCCAGGAATATGTGTCTTCCTGATAATATCAGCCACATTGCTCCAAATGTTTTGCTTGCTATTATATGAACATTTCGGTCTGACACATCTCTTCTCAGATAAAGCCCTTTAGATGATTGTTGAACCCTCAGAAGAAAATAAAATGAGAAGAATTGGGATATATTCTACTTTGCCAAAACAGTGAAGTAGGTTGGGATTCCTATACTGATGAGCATGTGGAACTGAATTCCCTTGGAATTTCCTATAAAAATAGGAAAAATTTAGTATCCTGTCTAGGGGACTATAAAATGAAGATGCCAAGAGTCAAGAATCTAGGAGTCTTCTCTTAGCTCGGTGATACAGACTTAAGATTCCTCATAAGATTGCAATGAAGCTGTCAGCTGGGGAATCAGTTTTCTGAAGCTTTGCTTGGCAAGAATCCAAAGGACTGCTTGTGATATATTTTCTGCCAAAGTGGGTGACCAAAGAGAAGGATAAAAATATCATTAGTGATGGAAGCTGCAGTGACTTTAAGAGTATAACCTCTATATTTTATTGGCCACATGTTCAGAGCCACCTTATAGGATGACAGTTATAAGATTTATGATCAAATGTACTGTCTCATTAATTTATGTCAACAATGGAATGAGATAAAAATGGCTGCTAATCATTTGATACTCAGTAGTACATATATTGACTGACATTTTGATCAAATGGGTATTCTGATTTTTTATATCTTTATTTTATTTATTTGTTCAGTTTTATGCGGTGCTAAGGATCAAACCCAGTGCCTCCCACATGCTAGGCAAGCACTGTTACCACTGATCTGCAGCCCCAGCCCCTATTCTGACTTTTTGAGGTTAATGCCCAACCAATTGTTAAATATTTTGATTCTTAGTTCTTGAGATAGGTATTATTATCCTCATGTTATAGATGTTGAGTATGAGGTTTCTAGAACTCAATTCCTCATTAAATAAATGCCAGAACCGGGGGAATAACATTTCTATTTAATGTGTTACATTAACATTATTGCAAATGCAATTATTAATACTTTATTATAAAGAATGATTAGCGATTAAGAAGTGTTGAATCAGTTGGTTGTTTACAGTTAGTTACTTTTTATTTAACATAGCTTTATTAGTATAAAGGTCTTGAAATAGAAATGTTTTAATATTTGAATGTTAATTTAGTGGTAATAATTTTTTTTCTCATAGGTTTTGCAGCCCTGTGACTTGTTTTTTCAGTCTACTCAGACAGGTACAGATCCACAAGTGATTGATATTTCAGTAAAATCCCTTACACTAAAGGTGGGTTAAAATATAATCACTCAAATCTTTTAGTACACTTTTTTTTTTTTAAAGTAGTAAAACATAGAAACAAGCAATTATTATAGCAAGTTTTTAAATCATTAAATAAGGAAAAAAATTAGTTTTTGATAAGTTTTATGAAACATTGTAAAATTTTTAGCATAGATTTTTATAATGTATGTTATTCTATGTTTTATTACTGACATTCGATAGCTTTTATTAATATCTACTATCGTTATAGTACATATAGTTGAAATTATACTTGATAGTTCAATATTTACAAGATTCATGTAAATACTTATCAGATTGAAGTTAGTTGTAGTAATGTAAAAATTAATGTAAGCCACAAATTATATCTCCTATTTTGTGTTAATAAATGTTTAATATTAATTGCTTATGATTATTTAGCAAATATATTTAATGTATTTTGAAATTTTGTTTTTCCATTTAGGTTTCACCAGTTATCATAAATACCATGATTACTATAACTTCAGCACTTTATACAACTAAAGAAACCACCCCAAAAGAGACGGCTTCTTCTTCAGCACATTTATGGGAAAAGAAGGATACAAAGAATTTAAAAATGTGGTTTCTTGAAGGATCAAATGAAACTGAAAAAATATCTCCCTCAGTTGAATTGGTACCCAAAGGAGAGATGATGAAATTGAACATTGATTCTATTTTTCTGGTTCTTGAGGCTGGAATTGGTCATAGAACAGTGCCTATGCTTTTGGCAAAGTCATGTTTTTCAGGGGAAGGCAAAAACTGGAGTAGTCTAATAAATCTCCACTGTCAGCTTGAGCTAGAAGTAAGCATATATTTATTTTTGTAGTTTTTATAACAAATAGTACTATGTATAAAATATTTTAGGTATTATATGTAGATATTTATGCCTTTAGAGAGGATTTTATCTCAAGTAAATTGTGAAGGGCAAATCTGGACCATTATTTGTTAGCCAATCGAGGAGGGTGCTGAGGGAGGGATTATATTGTAGGAAGCTCCTGAATGACATGCAGCGTGTTTTTCATGCAGAAGAAATAGCATGGCCAGAGTCATGTTTACAGGAACTATTGTGGAAGATCATTTTTAAAAATATCAAGATGCTTCAATTCATTTAAAAAAGATTAAAAATTCTTTCTTTAGGTTCATTATTATAATGAAATGTTTGGTGTATGGGAGCCTTTGCTTGAACCATTAGAAATTGATCAGACTGAAGACTTTAGACCATGGAATCTTGGAATCAAGGTAAATTTATGTATATATTTATGTATATAAAATATATGTATATAAATATTTATGTATATATTTGTATATAACATGTATATATATATATATATATATATATATGTATGTATAATGTGTGTTTATATTTATGAAGTGTGTGTTTAATGACTTTATTTGAGCCATTTATATTCATGGCAAAATTGAGAAGATACAGAGATTTTCCATATACTCTTTGCCACTCTACATGCTTGACTTTGTATTACCATCCCCCATCAAAGTATATTTGAATTCTGAAAAGAAGATGAAGTCTAGATAGGGCAGAGGGGTAGAAGGGGAAGGGAGGGGGCAGGGGGTTAGCAAAGATGGTAGCATATGATGGACATCATTATCCAAAGTACATGTATGAAGACACGAATTGGTGTCAACATACTTTATATATAACCCGAGATATACTAAAAAAAAAGTTTTCAAAAATTGATGTCTACACCACATTAGACACTTTAATTTTAATCATAGCAAAGTTGAAGTTTTCTCATTGTCAACTTTGCGCACATTCTTCCCTATTTGACCTCTGAGTGTGATTTTCAAATCCAAAGCCAGTGCTACCTGTCCTTCTAATACAAATAATTAACATTACTGATGTATAAGGCATTGTTCTGAATAAAGTATATTTGCTTTAATCCCCACAATGCACCCCCACCACCACCACTGAAAATGATGCAGTTTTTATCAACATTTGTAACTGGACTAAGACCAGAGAGGTTAATGGACTTCCATAAAGTAATAATAGCTATAAAGTAGAATAGATGGATGCAAATTTAGCTGCAGTCCCCATTCTTCGCTATATTATGTGTTCTTTTAGGTTGTGGTCTATTCCAGGTTTCTTTTACTTTCTGGAGGGAATATTTTTCTAACAAACTTATCTATCTTTCTATCCATAAAAACTTTATAGAGAAAAATGTGTATTTTTTGCTTAAAAGATATTGTAAATTTATGTAATCATGATAATCAGGGCTTTTAGATGGACAAATAGTGCTTCTGAAGCAGAGATTTTAGTATTACCAGCATGTTTGCTGCCTAATAGTGACTAGTCAAACTACAAACAAATTTTTAGGGGCTATAAAGCCACTTAAAGTAACAACAGAAATGGCTAGCCTGGCATGCCCAGGTTAATGTATTATATCACTTGATTTAATTTTCGAGATATTTTTAGATGAAGGATTTAGATAAGTGAATTCCTTTGGTAATTTTTAGGTCAGAATATGCATGGCAAGTAGGTCTTTGAATCCTAAAACAGGGTAAATGTTCTTGATTCATAATGATGGCATGTCCAAGTAAATTTAGGAATGAATGAATTTATTGCCCTTTGTAATAACAATATTATTGGATTTGTCTCAAGTTTGTTTTTACTTTGTAGAATGAAATATGTTGTGTTCCTAGAAGTGAATTCTTTTTTATATGTCACAATTTATCATTTTAGATGAAAAAGAAAGCAAAACAAGCTATTGTTGAGTCAGATTCTGAAGAAGAAAACTACAAAGTGCCAGAATATAAAACTGTCATCAGTTTCTATTCAAAAGATCAGTTAAACATTACATTATCCAAATGTGGCCTTGTAATGTTAAGTAATTTAGTTAAGGTAAGAAAATTTGAAACTTTTAATGTTGATATAATGGACTGAGTTGACCCCTTTTTTGAGTACATTTATTGTTAATTTAATTGTCATATATTCTGCTTATCATTTAGTTCTTCACATTTTCATTTAAGAAAACTGTTCCTCATTAGGCATTTACCGAAGCTGCTACTGGATCTGCACCTGTCTTTGTAAGGGATCTAGCACCATTTATGATTTTAAATTGTCTTGGACTTACGATCTCTGTTTCACCAAGTGATTCTTTTAATGTACTCAATGTTCCTCTGGCAAAGTCATATACATTAAAAAATATGCAAAGTTTAAGTATGGATTATGTCCGAACTAAGGACAATGACCATTTTAATGCAATGACCAGCCTAAGCAGCAAACTCTTCTTCATTCTTCTTAGTAAGTGATAAATTTCCTTCTTGACGTTTTATTCAAAATTACATTTTACCTATTTGTAGTGTGTATGTGTATAGGGTGTATGTGTATAGGCTATATGGTATATATGTAGGTGTGTGTGTTGTTGGGATGGTGGTGGTGGATTTTTAATAGATTGAGGCTTTTTTTTTTTTTTTTGCCTTTGCAGCACTTTGCATCACTAAATATGTGTTATTCAAATCTACTTTATTTATGTTCTCCATTTATTTAGAGCAGGCTAGTTAACTGCTTTATTGTGGGGAGGAAAAAATGTTGTATCTCTTCCAGTTTTTATAAACCATAGGCATTTGGTGACTGTTTTAGTCATATGTGGTATAAAGTATTAGATATTCTACCAGTTTTGTAGCTTAGTGAATTCAAAGAGTTTGAATTCATACAAAATTCTTAAATTATCATACTACCTAGTCATTATGAAAAACAGTTCCAAATCTTTACCCTTACCACTTTCTGATACTCTGATATTTATGTAGCTATGGAGGAGAGGGCATCATTTGAAAAAGGTAATTCAATTTGGGGGACAGGGAGCAGACTACAAAAATATTGCTCATTCTTCTAGTTAAGAAATAATGCATAATGGGTGTTTCAGAGCATTGTCAGTGGATTGATCAGTTTTAGCTCTGTTTGTTTTTGCACTAACATTTCTGATTGGGAATAAAGTGAGTGAAATTTATATAAATAAGTAACTTCACAACTCAATACAACATGTATATATTAGGTAAGTATATACAAAATTTTGTTTAATCATATAGCTAAAAAGTTACAGAAGTAGTTGAAATAAATGAAAACTAAAAAATTTCAGTTCCATTAGTATTTTCCAATGTCTGTCTCAAGGTATTAGTGACAGCAACTCAGAGATCACTATTCTTGAATTTTATAATAATAATTATCATTGCTTAGATATTTTTAAAAGGTTTAAACTGGGCCTAGTGATACATACCTAAAATACCAGCTACTCAGGAGGCCAACTTGGGCAACTTAGACCCTATCTCAAATTTAAAAATAAATAAAAATAAAAAAGAAATAGGATGTGGCTCAGTAGTAGAGTACCCTTGGGTTCAATCTCCATATCACAAAACAGCAAAAAATAAAATTTTAAGACCATCATCTGATATTTTGGTATTTACCATACGTAAAATTAATATATAGTAAATTACAGTAAAAACTTTCAAATATCTGTATTTAATTTAGCTGCTGTTAACCACTCGACTGCTGATAAGATTCCTTTAACAAAAGTAGGACGATGTCTGTACACTGTAAGACACAGAGAATCTGGAGTTGAAAGATCTATTGTTTGTCAAATTGATGCAGTAGAAGGAAGTAAGAAGATAACAGTTCGCTCACCAGTGCAGGTATGAAATGATTGATTTGGAGGGGAGATTCTTTATGCTTACTTATTATTACTAAATGGATACAAACTATAATAGAAGTAGGTTAATATCAAAGAGAATATCTCATCAGTAGCCACACTACTAGAAGAATTTGTTCAGTATATATCTTAAAATTCTTTTATAGAATGGCTTTATAAGATATTATGTAAGAAAAATCATCAGTATTTTCTTTAGGTTTTTATTATATATATATATATATATATCTCCTTTCTTTTCAATTAGAAAAAATTATATAGCTTTATCAAGGTATTGGCAATAAACTGCATATATTTTAAATTGAGTTTTGGTATAAAAACACTTATGAAACTTGATCATAGTCAAGGTAATAAACATATTTATTACCAAAAAAACTTCCCCTTTTCCCAACTTCCCCATTCCTACGTATCCACTAATCTGTTCTCAATATGCATTATTATATAGTCTTGAATTTTATATAAATGGAATACAGAGTAGAATTTAACTTCTTTCACTCAACAAAATTTTATATGTATCAACTTCTGTGAATAGTGTTACATGTAGTTGCAGAGAAGTAATCCATTATATGGAGATCCCATATATCCATTTTGAGTGATTTTTTTAAAAATATTTTTTTAGTTGTGAATGGACACATTAACTTTATTTTATTTATGTATTTTTATATGGTGCTGATAATTGAACCCAGTGCCTCACACATGCTAGGCAAAGGCTTTCGCACTGAGCTACAACCCCAGCCTCTCTAGTGATTCTTTGTATACATTGCAAGGTAAAGATTGAGGATCAGTCTTTCCAAATGACTTTCCAGTTGCTCCAACTCAGATTATATTTTTCCCAACAAATTTTCTTGATACTTGCCAAAAGTTATTTGGCCATAATAAGATGGTTTATTTCTAAACTTTGTATTCTTTTTCATTAATCTGTTTGTCTTTATGCTGGTACCACATCATCTTGATTGCTAAGTCTTGAAATCAGGTAGTAAAAATTGTCCCTCTTTGTTCTTTTCTGAAGTTCTTTGGATATTGTAAGTTCTTTCTATTTCTCTTTAAATTTTAGTCAGGTTATTTATTTTTGTCAAAATGTGATAAAATTGACTTTTTTTAAAATTTAAATTTTCAGTTATCTATTACTAGCATTTAGAAATACATTATTTTTCTATTAACTCAGATTGTACAACCTTACTGGACTCATGTATTCTAGTAGATTTAAACAGTTGTGTAGATTTAGACAATTATAATTTCTGCAAATAAAGACATTTTTACTTCATCATTTCCAATTTTATTTTATTTTTTGCCTTTTTTCCTGAGCTTATTGAGAAGATCTTAAAAATTTTGTTGAGATGATAGATTAAATTTATTTAAAAATGTTTCATCAACTCTGCATTCCTAGGATAAATCTCATTTGATCATGAAGTATATTATTGGACTGTTTTCTAAAATTGTGATTAAAATTTTTGAATTTATGTTCACAGAGAATCTTTGTCTAGAATTTTAATGTTTTGTGTGTCTTGTGGGAAAGTTTTAAACTATGGTTTCAATTGATTTGTTATCTACTACTTTTTTGGTGGTATTAGGAACCAAACCCAGGATCTTGCATATGCTGGGCAAATGTTTTACGATCTACACCTGAACTCTACCTTCAGCCTTTTCTGTTACTTTTAAGTGAGCTGTTTCATTCATGAAATTTATCTGTCTCACCTAAACTGATGAATTTGGTAACATTAAAGTGTTAATAATAATATTCCATTATTTTAATGTGTAAATTTGCATTGACAGTCAATTTTTAGAGCAATGACCTTAAATAGACTTTATCTAAAATATATCATTAGGTCCTTAAAACATTTTGTTGATTGTTATTTACTTACCTTCCCTCAATACAGACAAACCAATTGAGATTACTATTCATATTTTTTAATACTGATAAAAGAGACAAGCTGCATATCTGTGAGGGATTAGTTAAGTACTCCACAGAGCCATTGCAAATGAAAAAGAATTTGGAAGGAAGGAGGGAAGACAGGAAAGAAGGAAGGAGAAAAGTAAAAGAACAAGGAAGAAAAAGAAAAATAGAATTAAAGATTGCTACAATATATTATCTGATGTATCCATATGTTAAAACATTCTTTTTCAAAAGCAAGAATAGAGATTTTAAAAGAGCATATATAAAACTGAACATTCGTTGTATCTTACAGGTTTGTTTTTTGTGTGTTTGTGTGTGGGGAGTATGTTATTTATACAGATAAACAAAATATCCAGGGATTATGCCCTGGATATTTATGGATGGAAATTATTTAGAGTTTCTTTGTTATGTTTTCCTGAATTATTAAATGTTCTCATATATGAATTCATTACTTTTGGTATTCAGGAGAAATAGAATTTGTCAAGCTCACAGAACTAGTTAATAATAGAGCCAGGATTTGATTATGTGCGTGTGTGTGTGTGTGTGTGTGTGATGTTTTTACCTTAGTTGTTCATGTCCCTCTCCTATTACTCTGCTGCTGTATAGTGAAAAACTTTAGGATAAACTTATACTTTTTTAAAAAACAAAGAACAGAAATTTATTTCTAACACTTTGGAGGCTTGGGAAGTCCAGGATCAAGAGGCACCAGCTTGGGTGTCTTGTGAGAACTGCTCAACACTGTGATTCTAAGATTGTACCTTTCTGCTGAGAGGATGTAGCAATAAGATGTAGTCCTGGAATCAGATGGTGGAAGGCAGAAAGGCAAGAGGGACTGGATGCTGTGTCCCCAAGGACAGAAGAGAAAAATGGGAAGAGCTGCAGAAAGCTTTTATGATTCCTTTTTCCAGATATTTGGTCTTCTTTCCAAGTTTTGAAAAACTAGTTTATTCTCTGCTTCCAACCGACTTTTTCCACACTAAATTTGACTGGGTAAACAAAGCAAAAATCACACTTTGGTAACTAACTTCACATTCCAAATATGCACTATTGGAAGCATGTAGATCTTAGTAGGTTTCATTTGCATCAGTGGCAAGTTGAGTGAAAAATTTATTCAAAAATTTGTAATCAAAAAATGTGATTATAAAACTTACACCTACTGTCTCTTATTTGAAGTGAACATTGCTGATTTGATATCAAATCTTTTCCTTAGGAAGAGTTTTCAGTTGTATTTTTAATTTTGAGAAGGTTATTATATATAGTCCACTCTGTCCACAGCATGGAATATAACAAATGTTGACATTTAAATTTTTTTCTTCAAATTAAAAAAAATGAGTAAAGTTGAAGTCATCTATTTTGTTTCCTTCTTAGTCTGTATTTGCTTTTTTTATTCTTATAGAAAATACCAATTTGATGATATGATATATATATATATATGTTTATTTTTATCTATGATAATATATTCTGTTGCATAAATAATCAATTCTAAGAAAATTGTTTTGTCTTTTGTGTGTGTGTGTGTGTGATGCCAGGTTCAGACCCAGGGCTTTTCACATGGTAGGCAAGAATTCTAACACTAACATCACCAGCAAGAAAGTTTTCTTAATTATTGCACTATTTATGAGGTGGTTTCTTTGTTTCTTAATAAGATCAGTAAGGTCAGTGTTGTAGAGAACATGACTATTTTTTGGTGCATATATGTAAATATTTCTCTGGATATATGACAGGAGAAAACTTGCTAAGTCTTTAAATAGGTATATATTTATTTCTTTGCCCAACTATTTTCTGAATAATTTTTATCAATTTGTATTATATCAGCAGTGTGCAGGTGTTCCTGTTCACATTCTTTTTAGATGTTGATATTATAAGGCTTGTGATTTTTTAGCCTTATGGTATGAAAACATACCTAATGATTATAATTTGCATCATCTTGATTTCTAGGAAAGTTGAGTATTTTTCCATCTGTTTATTGGTCATTCAAGTTTTCTCTTCTGCAAATCACTTTGCTTATATTGTTTGCATTTTTCTTGATTGCAATTTTCTTAATGATTTCACAGATTTTTGTATGTATGCTGATTATAGATTCTTTATTAACTATATTTTAACATTTTCCAACCTGTCACATTTTTCACTTCTGTCATATAAATAATAAATTGATATATTTTTTTCCTGTGGATTTTCCTCTTCTGTTTCTGCCTAAATAAAAACATATCTCTAAATAAATTAATCCCTATCTCAAGGTGAAGAAATTATTATCTTTCACCTCTTGAGATGTTTAAAGTTTTATTTTTAAATTCATTTCTTTTCTTTCTTTTTTTTTTGTAATGCTAAGAACCTTTCCATATATTTTTTAGGATAAATGATTCTGTTTTCTTCTAGTTTATATGAGCAAGATGAATGTTGCCTAATAGTACCTTTGTTTTACTGTATTTTATATGGACATATAAGAATTATTTAGGTTCTTATAGTAGTAATATTAAAGATGAGTTATTTTTCTTTCTCAGATTAGAAATCATTTTTCAATTCCAATCTCTGTTTATGAAGGAGATACTTTATTGGGAATTGCTTCACCTGAAAATGAATTCAACATACCATTAGCATCTTACCGGTAATTTTTTTCTTTATTTTTTTGTTGCTATTTCATAAAGTTTTTAGTTTTAGATGCTATGTGAATATTTATTTTTAACTTATTAAATTTTCATCTAATTTATCCTGTTGATTATCTATTTTATTTAGGTTTCAAGAATCCTAGGTGGTTCTTTTCAAAAGAAATATTATTTAATGTATAATTAATTTGTACCATGAAAATTATTTATGTTTTTGCTGGTAAATACAATTATTACAATGTTGCAGAATGATCACCTTAACCATAGTCATGTATATTCATGAGTTTTACAAATGTTTAAGAATATGATTGATGGTTCCAAGATTTATATATTTACTTTTATATTTATATATTTACTTTTCAAAACTATTATAATAGAATTTTGGTGAAATTCCTTTTGAAAAAATATCTTTTAATATAAACACTTCTCTGTTAATTGTTTAGGGATAGAGTAATGTAAATGCATTAATGGTTAAATGTTTATAATATTTTGATTAAATTTGATATAAATGTTTTAAGAAAAAATTAACAAAGTAATGCTAGTCTTATAATTGTAGATTTAACATTGTAACAAATAAATATTATTTGGGCTATTTAATTTACAATTGAAAATAATCTCTTTTGTGGAGAATGGATTCTCTTGGAGAATAATCCTTCTCTAAAATTAAGAATTGTAGTTTATTTAAATGCCATTTCAGAATACACTCTAAAAATGCTAGGGAAGGAAAAAGGTGATACTACGGTTTTTAACTGTCCCCTAGTTCTGTTCTTTCTGATCCAAGCCTGAAAGTTTAAGGTGGTGTTCTAAATGCTTAGAAAGCAGTCTTAATAGTTCCGGGCACATATTTTCACATAGATAGACCTACAAACCCTAACATGCATTTTATTACTTAATTCAGAAGTGCTGAGGGAAAGAATTGTTGAGAGAATAACAGCAATAATAGTTGTTTACAATATCAGACATGTTCTAGAAAGTTTTTTTGGGTTGGTTAAAAGACAAATTTTAAATAACTTGTAAGATGTTTAAAAATTTCTATGAAGAACTTTTAAACCGTTTAATAATATTTAATAATAGTTAATGGCATTCATCATAAAAAAAAAAAAAAAAAAAAAAAAAACGGCAAGGCATTGGCACCAAAAGAGAGACTTAGACCAATGGTACAGAATAGAAGAAACAGAGACAAACCCACATAAATCCAATTATCTTATACTAGACAAAGTTGTCAGAAACATACATTGGGGAGAAGATAGCCTCTTCAACAAATGGTCCAGGGAAAACTAGAAATCCACATGTAGCAAAAATGAAATTAAACCCCTATCTCTCACCCTGCACAAAAATCAACTTAAAGGGGATCAAGGATGTAGGCACTAGAACAGAGACCCTGTGCCTAATATAGAAGAAAAAGTAGTCCAAATCTCCACCATATCAGCTTAGGTACTGACTTTCTTAACAAGACCCCTGAAGCACAAGAAGTGAAATTAAGAATCTTAAATGGGATGAAATCAGACTAAAAAGCTTCTTCACAGCAAAGGAAACAATCAACAACATGAAGAGAGAACCTACAGAATGGAAGAAAATCTTTACTACATGCACTAACATTAGTCTCCAGAATATTAAAGAACTCAAAAAACTTAACACCAAAAACAAACAAATAACACAATCACTAAATGGGCTAAGAAGCTGAACCAACACTTCACAGAAGAAATACAATCGGTCAACAAATAGACAAAAAATGTTCAACACCCTGAGCAATTAGAGAAATGCAAATCAAAACTACACTGAGATTTTATCTCACTCCAGTCAGAATGGAAATCATGAAGCATACAAGCAGCAACAAATGTTGGCAAGGATGTGGGGGAAAAGATACATTCATACATTGCTTGTGGGGCCGTGAATTGGTACAACCACTATGAAAGCAGTGTGGAGATTCCTCAGAAAACTTGGAAGGGAACCACCATTTGACCTAGTTATCCCTCTCCTCAACATATACCCAAAGGACTTAAAATCAGCATACTACAGTGATGTAGCCACATCAGTGTTTATAGCAGCTCAATTCATAGTAGCCAAACCATGGAACCAACTTAGGGGTGCCCTTCAACAGGTGATTGGATAAAGAAATTATGATATATATATATATATATATATATATATATATATATATATATATATATACATACATACATACATACATATACATATATATATATACATACACACACACACAATGGAATATTACTTAAAGAAGAATGAAATTATGACATTTGCTGATAAGTGGATGGAGCTAGAGAATATCATGCTAAGCAAAATAAGCCATTCCCATAGAACCAAAGACTGAATGTTTTCTCTACTATGTGGATGCTAATTCACAGTGGTGGTGGGAAGAATAGAGGTACTTTGTATTAGAAGGGATTGAAGGGAGGGGAGGAAGTATGGGGCAGGAAGTACTGTGGAAGGAATCAGACATTATTACCCTATATGTATATATGATTACATACTAGTGTAATTCTACATCATTTACAACCAGAAGAATGAAAAATTATACTCCATTTATGTATGATACGTCAAAAATACATTCTATTGTAATGTATAGCTCATTAGAACAAATTTTTAAAAAACAGTTAATGGCATTCTGGTTTTTAAGAATATCTGCCAAATATTTTGTGACTCTGTAGTAGAGAAAAGAATATCTTTGTACTTTTGTTCAAGGCTAAATAATACTTCATTAAATGAAATTTAATCTTCCCTAATTAGAGTTATTATTGACTAATCAGCAAGAATTTTGCATTAATTCAATGATTAGATGTACGTGCACTTAAATATTTATGAGATGAGGGCTTAAATTAACAAATGCTATTTTTCTCTATAGAATTTGACTATACTTATCCTTAAATTTAATTAATAAATATTTATCAAGTGTTGTGTTGTGGGTGAGACATTGTAATATACCAAAATAAATTGGACATGGTTGTTACCATTAAGAGATTGATACATTTTCTAAATATATTAGGTAGGAAAAAGTGGATTTTAGAAAGTTACTGAAAGTGTTACTAGGAACTGTTGAAAACCAAGGATTATTGATTGACTTCTGGGGAAGGTACATGAAGAACAGAAAAAATATAGTAATGAGATTAGATGCGGACAGCAACATAAGTAGAAATAATTGCATAAACAAAGATAAACAGGAATGAAATGGTAAGGACTTTGTATACTTATAATTAATAGTCTGAATTTCATTAGAATATAGAGTATGTATTTAAAACAGAATTTGAAGAGTTAAGTTCACGCTTAAGAAGTTACTCCCTCATTTTTCTTGCTGCCAGTTTTATAAATCTTACATCCACCTACTAATATCATCTGTTTTCTTCCTTCTTGTCACATAATATTTGTTGTTCAGTTTCTAGACCACTCATTCTACCACCTTTTCTTATTTACAGTCTCCTACCATTGATCATCTTCTGTTTTCTCTTCTTCACTCTTTATTTGAACTTTCCTTTAACCACACATATTTCTCTAACTCAAGTCTTTTTCTCAGAACTCTTTTTGGGAAACATTTCACTTCTTCTTCTTTTTTTTTTAAGGTAATTAAATCCAGGGACACTTAACCACTGACCCACATCCCTACCCTTTTTATTTTTTATTTTAAGACAGGGTCTTGCTAAGTTGATAAGGCTGGCTTTGAACTTATGATATTCCTGCCTCAGACTCCCAAGCTGCTAAAATTACAGGTTTGTTCTACTGTGCCCCGCAAAATTTTTCACTTCTGCATAACACCCTGCAGTCTGTTTAGAAAGAGTTGGCCACACTACATTATTCCCTCAGTCTTACATTTGCTATTTCAGTATCTATTACAGTGTAGTAGTTACCTTTTAACATTACATTTACTACTTGGTTTGTATATTTTAAATTTTGCCCTCTCATTGCTACATGGAGACCCAGAGAATATTTTGATAAAATGTTTTGATATATATGTTGACTTTAGGAGAAAATTAATTTTTTTCTTTAAGTGTTGGAATAATGGAAAGTAGAATGAAAATTATGAAGAGGCTACAAATAGAATAGGCTGTCTGAAACTGATTGGATAAAAAATGTATGTAGGTCAGGGGTACAAGTACTCTAATATTTCAAAGACTAGTAGTTTAAAGTCACTAAAAACGGGCATATAGAAAATCAAGCATGGAGGATTCATTGTTCATTGTGGGAAATTTTTAACATCAGAAATCATTATAGAAATACAAAACAGTTAAAATTTTAAGAAAAGAGCTTAGGAAAATAGGGATGGAGATAGTTTTTGCAGTTGTTCATCTATAAAGGTTACTCATAATCATAGCTCATTAGTGTTATAAATAAATAATATTTGTAGGGGCTGAGGGTGTAGCTCAGTGGTAGAATACTTACCTTGCACACTTGAAGCCCTAGATTTGATCCTTACCACCATACATACTCATAAATATGCACAAAAATATTTCTTAAGTGTTTATTCTAGCATATAGCTAACTTTTAAACTTGTTAGACCTAGCCAGCCATGGTGGCATACTCCTCTAATCCCAGTAACTATGGAATATGATGTAGGAGATAACAAATTCAAGGTCAGCCTGGGCAACATAGCCAGTTCCTATCTCAACAGCTTAAAAAATAAAAAAGACGGGGGTATCCAAGATGGCGGGCCAGCAGGAGGCAGCATTCTGTGTCACTCTGTGACCTGGGACTTAAGTAGTGAGAATAATGTTTCTCTGCAAGCAATATTCCTGCTCCCGCGCAGGAATCACAGCCACTGTACCAGCGCAGGGCTCCAGGCCTCAGCTTCAGAGAAGGTCTCCCAACTACTCATCCATACAGGACTACTGGGAGCCGGAGTGGCAACATAGGCATGGGTACCCACACAGAACTTTCCGCCACCCACCTGAGCAGAAATCCCAGATGCTGCTCCCACACAGGACACCCAGCAGCTACCAACGTGCAGGAACTCCAGCTGCTATTCCCGTATGGACACCTGTCTACTAAT